GTATCTTACTCAAATTTTGCTCATTTTACTTTATGTTTTCTGGAATATGAAAGACACTTTAAAAGTATAATTTTTACAACTTAGATCATGTAATTTGGTTAAGTATTAGTTGAGTTATGATAGATTTTGTATTTGAGTGTACTTAGTGTGACGAAAATCACAAATTGCGCGTGTGACAATATTTATGAAAACGACAGTAATCATAGTATTCATACTACATTAATATTCCTTTTCTATCCTTCTATATCATTAAATAACACTTTTTTTAGTGTTGTCTTATCTTTGACACTAGATATATACACTAGACCTCTTCAGCACAAAAAGGACCGACATGTTGGTGCCTGAATACAATATTATGTGATGCAGGTCTTCAACCTTGGTATACTCTGGGGAGGCCTGCTGCTTCAAGGGACCAAACTTAACGGACACAACAGTATGTAGTACATATACATTACATTATAGAACTGAAGATACGATGTATATGCAGTAACAAACAGATTACGTCGAGCAAACTTGGAGCAAGAGGATTCAGGAACTCAGCTCCAGCTGGGTGTTCTTATAAATTCAATCCCGAATTAGTGCACAATCCAACGTCTCAAAAACAATAAGGGCTGAAGGAGCATGGAAAATTTCACATGCTGCCGATATCATCAACAATCGTCACTTCTGGGACTCCTCCACTTTCGGGATAAATAAAACGAGGTCTGGATAAGATCCAAGACCCAAGATTTAGGTGCGAACGTGCGACTTAAGTTGCGACAATATGACTCAGTCCTCCGGAAAAACTTGGAAACTGGGCTGGAAGAATTCGGCAGTTCAGCCCGGGCCTTGTATATATGGAAGTCCTATCTATTCATCCAAGCTCAGATCAATCGTTTCTTCTCTTCTAATCGACTTTCCGTGCATAGACGCGGATAGAGAGATTCGCCTCAGCCAGACCTGAGACTGTTTCCATGCCCAAATTATGTACTACATAGATATATATGCTAAGGTAAAGACGTGCTACGATACGGCAGACATGTGTATGTAGGTGTAGATCGGTGAATCGAGTAACCAAGAAGAAATGTGGAGCGATATTGGAGTCGGAGAAGGCAAGAGAAGTAAGGACATTCCCAGATGCCCTAGTGCCCATTTCAGCCAACACGATAAATACCCTATCCTATCCCATCCGAAGCCTAATCCTATCACCTCCACCGCGGAAAAACACAAGAAGGTGCCGTCGCTTATTATTAACACAGATCACTATCCTCATCCAGCGGCAGCCAAATTATACTCAAACATAAAGCTTAGTCCGCCACCCAAGTTCCCTCCATACCGTCCCGAACCGGCTCCCGAACCAGAAGCACCGCTACCATAAGAAGGTTTCGTATAGTTCGTCAAGTCTGACCCGACGACGGCAGGTCCAGGTAAACGTCCCGTCCAACCACACGGATGGTATGGTGCGTATTCAAAATTATGTAGACGTTCTGCGCGGCTGCGCTGTGCCACGTTTCCACCTGAAGACGAAGAGGACTCGCCACCTGCTTCGCCGCTAGCAGGATCGACATTCTCGTCCGGGATAGTTGCGTATGAGTCACGTTCTTCGTAAGTACCCGTTGCTGCGTCGTACCCGGGCGACACGGGAGGAAGCGGTGTCGATGTACGATGACGGACCGGAGACAACGAGAATGTCCGCAGTGATGGGGGTACCCAGCGACTCGGCGAAGGAGCACGGCGACGACGTTTCGGACGACGCTCGCCTTCTGTATTACCAGTGCTGGAACTAGCAGTCGCAACGGCGACTTCACCCGAATCTTGCCCATTGCCACCAAAGGCTGGGCGGAGAGGATATGATGATTGTTGTGATGTGGAGGCACCGGAATCTGGAGGGATTGAACCATGCATTTCTTGCACACTGAGTGGAGTTTCGACAGTGGACCGTCTGCGTCTACGGCCTCTAGTCGTGTGGGCCGAAGTCTCCGATGTAGTAGGTGTGACTGGTGCAGGTGGCGATTGTTCATCATCGCGTACCTCACGTCCATCCCGTTCGCGCTCAGAACGGCGTACATCAGGGTTCGTCTGTTCGCGTGCCATATTGTCGCCTTCCTCGAGGGTTGCTAAAGTACTCGCAGAAGTAGCAGGTTCTGAAGAGGTGGACGCGGCCTGGAGAGCGCTGCGATTAACGGGGCGAGTGATACAACGACGAGTGTGTCTGTTTAGGTTGGATGCAACACCAAAGCGACGACCGCAGATGTTACAGACAAAGGCTGGTTAAGAGGGAAGGGTATTAGCATACAGCGGTGAGCAAAGTCGACCCGAGCAAGTTTTTCAGAATGATGTCCGCCAGCGGGAGTGGGGATAAACCAGGACACCGCAGACATATGAGTTTATATTAGCCAAATGCCCAGCGATCCATCCAGCCGTTCATCCGTCCATCCACCCACGCAGTCGGCATTCAGCATCAAAGGAATCCCGATTGCAACGGCAACAATGGATAAGTTATGTGGATTGCAAGCGCATACATCGTGCAATTGAGCATCAGGCAGGGGAGGGAAGGAGCACGTAAAATGCCGAAGGCGCATTCCGTTGTTCATATGATTGGTGCAGATGCGATTCATTCCGGATGCGGAGTCGCCAGGGCGAGACATCGGAGAGACGGCGTGGGCACGGACGGGCCAGTTTTGGAAAATAAGCATGTCGGAAATGAAATGCACGAAGATCAAAAACGGAGCGTCAGTGTTTGTGATACTCGGGACTTCTTTGGGCGATCCACGAAGGCGGCGCCACAGAACGACACCCCCGCCAAGCAACGGCCCGGAGGCTGTTTAGCGGACGAATGCCAGTGGATGTAGTAGGGCGCAAAAGGAGGGGAACAAAGGACAAGAACATAACAAAGACGGAATGGTACACTGACCTTTTTCGCCCGTGTGTACCAGGAGGTGCTGGAGAGCACAAGGTGGCGGCGGCGTTTATGAAGATAAATCACAGAATGATTTATCCGTCCCAGGCAAATGTGCATTTGATTGGGTCGGAACATATTGCACCAGTGAAAGCGAGTAGGCATGGCAGAGCAAGATAACGCGATTGTTAGTAATTCTATCCTCACTCCGTAATTGAAATGCCAGAGAAAAAAAGTCAAGTGGGTATAAGTGGGTATATTGACACCAGTGAAGAAGGCGACATGGTTGTGCAGATCCCCACATTAGTGCAACGACAAACGGGAGAGTGCATATTGTCTGCGCCAGCGATTCAAATATTCGGCTAATGCCGATAGTGGGGACGGCAGGTGTGCAAAGAAGCAAGACATGCGCAGGGGCGCAACAGCATGTGGGATGTAACAATTCGCGATATGCACAGAAAAGGACAGTGAACTGTGTTCGCTCGTTTGTTGGAGACTTCGTTTTGTGAGCCGGAAAAACTCGCAAGGATTCGCGGAATGATTCAAACGGATAATAACAAGGAACGGAACGTGCGCTCTTTGAACTCTCCAACTCCGAACGAGCAAGAAGAAATACGGCTGCTTTAAAGGAAAGCAACTCACCTTGCGTAGGGTACTTGGCCTATCGAAGCTTTTGTGGCACATCCAGCATGCGTGATTCCGCTTCCGCGTACTCTGACCGCTGCTGCTTGCCGGTGCAGGGGCGGAGGTAGACGTAGACGCCGATGCAGGGGCAGGGCCTCCTGACGGAGGGGAAGCGAGCGGGTACTCGTAAGGTTCTGCCGAGGTGATAGAGACAGGAACAAACGGCTGCGCTCTTGAATGTGCTGCCAACGACGAAGGCCCTGGCTCGGGCTCAGAACCGATACCAAACGCACCAGAATATGAGCTGGTATTTGTACTAATGGCACGATAGTTCGCTGTCCCAGGGCCGGATAGGCCGGATGTCATCCCGCTCGAGCTCGAGCTGGAACTAGCCCTGGCTTCAGCTCCAGTCATATTAGTCGATGCCTGTCCTATTGGATCACTGTCCTGGAGTGAAATCTGAAGCGGAACAGGCTCAGCGTGTCGTCTCTCATGCTCGGGAGCAGTATCGGAATGTGCTAAACGAGAAGAAGACGGTGACTGCGCCTGCGGTCCGTACGGAGGCGATAGATTCGAATAGCGTCGCACAGATCCTGTTGATGACAATGGCACACTCGTCCTTGCAACTGCAACCGACGATTGAGGGCGGCCAGCAACAAATCTTGGATGAGATGTCTCCGATTCTGCAGCAATCCCAGATGCTCCAGACGGGGATATAGGGGACAGCGCTCCATAGGGAAGGAGGGTGAACGGAGTCGCAGGTTCAGGAACGCGAGAAGCTGCCGCCGCCGCTGCAGGAGTGGCAGACGTGGGAGTGGTGGTGGACGTGATGCTCGAGCCAGAAGCCGCGAACGACGCCAGATGCAGCGAAGACGACGATGCCGGCGCAAATCGCGTTAGGCTAGGACCCGACGCCGCAGCGGTCGACAGAACCTTGTCCATAAACGAGACCGTTGCAGATGGGTGCGGTGCGCTTTTGTGTAATTCCGCCGTCGCGGGAGGTATAGGCGCCCACGATGATGACGTTGCGCCGCCTGTACTTTCCGACGCTTGCGAATGCGTCGGTGATGCTCCCGGGAGGGACAGCGACGCATGTGTGAACGGGTGGGATATGCTAGTAGTGTCCGTATTATTTTCTACTGAAGCCGTTGGTGACACTTCTGTTGCTGAGACAGTCTGAGCGTTTGTCTCAAAAACACGATACGCGTCAGACGCTGCATACCATCCTGTTGACGACGATGACGACGAAGACGCGAACGCTGAGTCTCGCTGGGAGCTCGCCTGAGCGGCGGCGGCGGCGGGATGTGTGAGTGTGTATGAAGCCAGACTCGGAGGGCGGAACACGGACGGTTCGGACGCGGCACCAGATGCGGAAGCAGAACCGGGGACGAACGCGTCTGGATGATAGTACTCCACGTGACTCTGGTCCGGCGGAGAGTCACGGCCCGGAGCGAAACCGGCAGGATTGCTAAAGCCAGAAGCCGGAGCCGGGACATAGCCAGAACCAGAGTACTCTGAGTAGGACGGCGATCGCAGGGCCACTTCTGGTTCCGTCGTCGCTGTGCTATTAGTGTCAATGGGAGTCTCGGCGATCCGCATTCTCCAATATGACTGCGATTGCGCAAATGAAGTCGAACGCGCCTGCGCATGAGAATGCGATTGGTACGCCTCGTCTGCGCGTGTCTGCGGATGCATCTGCGACAGCCTGCGTCCTTGTCGATCGTCCATAAAGCGGCTCCCGGAAACATGCGGGGCTGAAACTGTGTTTGCGCTCGTGGTCGTGCCCGAGCTGGAAGTTACATCGGTATTAATATTAATATTCCCAATTGCATTCGCGTTCGCATTTGCAGTAGCATTCACAATCAGTGTCTCCCTCCGTGCCGAGCCCGGCGCCGTCCGTTCAGGAAGGTAAAGTGTGCTGGCTGCATAGCGATATGCATCCGAGGAGGCAAGTCCCAAGCCGCTCCCGGTTGCCGAAGCCGTGCTCGTCACAGTCTGCGCGGACGACATCAACGAGGGCGTGGGTGTGGGCGTCTGCCTCGAAAAACTTGTTCGGGCCCTTGTCCGACTCCGCGGGGGTGTCTGTCTGTGTGCTGTTGTCGGAATTGATGGTCCTGACGCTGGCTCGCCAGCTGCCGGTTTTGCAAGTGCTGATCGGGTCGGGCTGACACCCGCTGAGTCTCTGCCTCCTGAACTTGCGCCTGAGGATCCCTGACTCCGCGACGTCGACGGGCGGGTCTTGCCCGCCGATGTGGTAATGGACTTGAGCGACTTGGACTCGGACGGGGTCATGCACTGTGCCGCGTTAGCGGCCGGGTGATGCTGTCCGCTGTCAGCTCGCAGTCGAGTTGCAACAATGGGAAGAGACTGCAGGCACTTGCACTGCTGGCTACTTACAGGGAGACAAGGATACTGACGCCTGCCCCCAGTGTGGAGGGTATCCGGTCGTCAAAAAGGCGTTCCAACCCAATGGGATCGCGTGCAAGCTATATATGTCTCCTACCTTCCCTTGCCGTGTGCGCACAAAGAATGTATATTCTTAATTCTCAATGCATCATCATCATCATGCATTTTGGTTTTGGATTCGGAAAATTGATGGGAAGTGAAACTCTCTGGCGCGTGGACAGGTCGGACGCATCCAAGCGGCCCACTCTCTCATTCGACTTACGACACCACAATCGATCCATCCCATCCCTTCGATATCAACCACGATCCAGAAGAACGTCTCTGCGGACTTTATCAGGTGCCACAAAACCTAATCCTCTCTTCCTCCCTCCGACCCTTCTAACCCAGAATCTGTTCTAGGTTATTGGTTTTCATGGAAAATAGAATGCGATAACGGTATGCCTCTGCCTTTGTTGCGGCGCGGCACAGCCCAACTTCTGTATCTGAGCCTGTTTCAGATCATCTGCCTTCGTGACCGACAGCCCCGAAGAGAACGCTCTTAAGGAACAGAACACTGGCCAGCCAAGGACCAGTCGAGTCAGCGCGCATCGGCGCAATCCAAATTGCAAAATGACAATTGAATTGCTGAGCTGGCTTTCATCCGGAAAACATGACAACTGGGCGAATTTAGCGCATATAAGCAATGGAACATCAAGCAGCGGGATCAGATCGACGTTCTGTCCGACGAGGAAGCAAGTCGAACGCGATGGAAGTTTCTTGCTCCCAATCGTCAACCCTCCAACTAAGTAAAGCACTGCCCGTCGTAGTGGAAAAACCGACGACCCGGCAGTAAAAAGCAAGCTTTCCTACATGGGTGTGGTCTTCGCGACTTCGAGTTCATATGCCTCGCCGGGTCTCCTTCTGTTCTACCATCATCCCGCTTGAATACAGACGCCACCGCCACGTTTCGGCCAGGTGCTCACTGACCGGTCAATTCAAACAATCTTGGCATTTGTGAACCAGAACAAGGAGGCATCACTGTGCTCATACAGCGACTGATATCTGGATCAAGCTACTGAATTTCGAACTCAGGCAAGACCGCTCACGTACACGTACAATCAGGACTCACCTACCGAGGCACAGACATCCATTTTGCAATCAATATTGCCGCCGTCGAAATCTGAACCCCTGAACGTTAGGTAAACGCTCATGATATGAGACACTGTGGCGGCGCTTCTTTCATTTTATCTGAGCTTGTTTTTCTTCTTCATGTGCTGGGTGACTACTGGCTTGAGTTATTTATTACTGAACACTCTGGATGCTGTTGTTCCGTCCACTCCATCAACAACGTGACTCAAAGCACAACAGCAAAACAAACACGTGTACAGACGGCACAAGACGGCTCCTCAACGCGCACTTACCCAGTATTCATCGATACTCGTGTGCATTCATACGCGGACATGTACCCACTCCTCCTTATAATATATTGACCTCGTTTCCGCTGTTCTCTAAGATCGCACCTAGGGCCTTCCCGAACATTGGACTGAATTCAAGACCTCATATATGCGTGTACTTCTTCCAGAGTCCGCTGTGGTCGGACAATCAATCGATATCGACGATGGATTTCGATGAATAGCAACCGGGTAGCTTATTTCAGGCGAAATAAACGGTATGTCAATAGCAGACAAATTGCAATTTTCCTAAACCTATAAACATGAATACAGACACTGCAATCGTCTAAAACTGCTTACCCCATAGCAAAAGTCGGAATCAAAAGTGTGCAGCAGAAGTGATATACTCCGCGGCATCCGGGCAGGAAAACATTGCACAGAATCGGAGGAAGTGTACTGTCCTTTGACTCCGAAACGTCTTTGGCCTTGGAATGCGGGTGTACGAAATGGATGGCCGCGAAGTGAAGGAAAACCCCGGCGAAGAGTCTATCTTTGCCATATCCTAGCAGACTAGAATGTTCAGGTTGCAGAAGTCATGTTGATCATTCAAGCGCGGTAGCTATACTCACGCATGAGCTAACACTTGAGTGCGTGAAGTATACAATCCATTCAAAGCATACAGCGCAGATCACTACGACGCCGGACTCGGATAGCAATGCGTAATGTCCTCGTGTCATTTTCTCCGTTCGATACACAATTCAGTTTGTTGCATCGTGTTAAAGGAATGTCGAGGTGTAGGAATGTTCGTTGGCATAAAAGGTATAAATTCATGTCATGCGTTCAGCACAACCACATCCTGAGAGAAGTCTCATGCATATTATCTTCAACATGTTTTGTTTAGTCACTATGCTGGCGAAATGGACACTGGTGGAGATTGTGAGCAGATCCGATGCTATTGCAGGGACGTCAATTGTACTCTAGCAATGAGTAACAGACCACTCACTTTCCGATTCTCCTGCCGCTTGGCGTTTCATTTCCGTACAGTAACTCCGAATTCTTCCGCTCAGCTTTACAATGCAGGTCCTCATGATAGCGCCGGTAGCATCGCGTGGTCTGAGTAATTCCATTTCCAACTATATGCATGGTACCGATTGAGACATCGATCATCCAAGATAGACAGATTAGACACCTCAGTGAGAAACCACAGCCCCAGAAGGTGCAGTTGAGAAGATGCGAAGCTAGCCCAAGGCGCGAAGCTGAACCCTAGATGAGAACCCAGAAGCGCTCAGAGACGACTGCGATAGAAACGAAGAAGGGCAAGAGAGAGAGAGATGGCGATGGTAATGAAGACCGGGTCCCGCTTGAGGCTCAGATACCGGTGCCTAGTGTGCAGAGCTTCCACGCCAGTACTTGTATGCATATAATAATGTGAGGTGCGAAGGGCAACCGTGCCTTCGTCTCGTCTTCATCACGCATGCGGGAAGGCGTCTGGTGCTATCTGTAAATCGGGACGCAATTTTTAAAACTCCGCGAAATTGGTAATCGTCAGTCTCTTTCGTTGGTTGACAATGAACTCCTCAGTCCAAGCGTTTCGAAAGTTTTCAATAACGCACTACAGTAAAACCAAACATTCTACCGAGGAATCGCATTTATAGTTCCAGAAAGCATTACTATGAAAGGCTAAAGTGTCTCGAAGAACTGTGTAACTTCAGCCGCGAATGGTGCGAGAGAGTTCAAGATAAATACACCTGTGCTATACTTACAAGCGTACTTCCTTCTGCTCCTCGGTGCTCGGCCGCAGCAAGTCATCTAAACCTAATGCTTCCCACGCGAGCTCCAGCAGCTGTACTTCATAGTATTAGTAGGTTCCGGAGCAATGTGCTTAAGCTCTCGACCACTGAATTGGCAACCGGCTCTGAAGTAATCGACAATTAGATGTGTCAGTGTCAATTACCCAAGATATACCCTGTTATCTTGACAAAATCTACTCAACTGTCTGAACTTAGTCTTTTCAGTGCAAAACTTGTTGGCTTACCCGCAATGAATCCGGCGTCTGGTGAAATTACTAATTGGTGTAAGATCTAGAACTTTTATATGCAAGAACCTTGAACTAGGAAGACGGTCCAAGTGTCGCCGATGCTAAAAAGGACATGGAACATGCTGTCCAGTGTAAAGGCTCGGCTAAACTACATGGGACGAACCAAAGCCATAATCAATCCCTGAAGGGCACTTAGCGGTCTCCTGAGGTGTCTCGCTCTCTATTCTGGACTACTGTAATCACGACTAGGAACAATTTCTCTAGATGGCAAGGGCTTTACCTAGAAAAGTTGGTGACCAGAGCTCCGAGAGGACGTGGTGTATGCGTGTTTCTTGAACATCCGTACTTTAGCCTGAACATCATGATGCTCAACTATGTCTCTTAGTCCTTTCTTTCACCCGGAATGAGTTCTGCCTCAAAGTATCGTATTGAAAACCTGCGGTACTTTACGGGGAAATAGCCTACCTCTTCTTGTGCCCATGAACTGCCGGGTCAGCACTGTCACAATATCATTAATGGGCACGAAACTGGCACGAAGTGGCGTTGCAGAACTTTACATGCGCAAAACCGACAGCAACTTCTCGTTAGCTTCCCGACTTCTGTACCGGAGCTTGCTAAGTTTAATTCTTGCATAGCCATTTACCGCCCAATGAATGATTCTCATGAATATTGGAGGCTGGAACGAGAAGATGATGTATTTAACTGTGTGCATTCCTCACTGATATAATCAAATTTCTGTCTAACAATATTTCAGAACGAGCTATCCAAACCAGATGGTCCCAAGCATGCTACAGTTGCTTTGAATTTTTATGTGGAGGATACTTATCCTAACTACATTCAGTTAGCACGGAATCACAAGACACAATGAATAGCAAATAGTATTGTGGCGTTCCTCCCAATGGACGCCACTTTGTAATGACTCAATGTGAATGTATCCAGTCAAGTGCAAGGCAACGAGCAATTTACAATTTAGGTTTGACACCTGGTAGAAGCACCACCAAAAAGTTTCTTTGCTCTGCGGTTGGTGAAGTAGGAAAAGTTTGTTGTCCACGTTTCTGCTAGCCAGTATTAATATTGGTACTCGCGGGAGAACGTCACGGTATCCCTCGTAGACCTAGGATCCGAACGAGAACTTGAGAGAAGCAGAAGGCAAGAATGAAGAAGACGAAGAAGCGAGAAGGACGATGATCATCCACAACTGTTTTGAAAAGTCACCCACATACATCACTGCTGACGGCTGTTATATGCACTGTGATTAAAATAGGTTCTTTGACTACACAAATTTGTTTTATAGCCATTGCACTTTGCTCCGAAGGTAAGACAAGTGGAATGAGACGGAGTATCGTGCGTCTTTAGAATATGCAGATGAAACTATTTTATAAGTCAGGCTTAGGCAACCTTTTAGAGATGACAACAGTTGCCAAGCACAACAGAAAATCTTCATATGAAGGATTTGCTGCTCACTAACGTATACACTAAATTAATCTCGTATTCTAAAGAAGACAAGCTCCTAGAGTAACGAGGATTATAAGGGGAAATAATATTAATGATTATGTCTGATTGCCAAATACAATTGGCACCCCAGAGCCCAGCTTGTAGAGTATTGGTTCAGTACACAGAATTTTCTATGGAGATCGTCATCTTGACTATATGCAAACTTGCCTCCAAGCTTGCATGGCACATTGTCGCTGGATGAAAAGGGTGCATCTTACAGGATTTATAACTACCATGAATGATGTCAATTCTTCTCCGCTTGAGAATCGACAGCTCTTCTTGGTTGCTTGGTGTATCTTATATCTCTATGAGTGGTAAATTCACAGTGGTCAGGCCTTAGTTTCCAGAAACACTATAGAGAAATTTCGTGTTGCAAATGGCATTTGAGAAGTAACTTGGTGGGCTGAAAACAATGATACACAAAGTCAGCAAAGATATAGTCCAGTTTCAGATTGTATTTTATACAATCATACTTTCCTTGGCTGTATATAGTAGTAGGTTGTTTTTGTTGAGATATGCTTGAACCTATGCAAAGAATATCAAGCCCAGATGATCCAATATTTTTGTTGACACAGTAGTGCACAAGCGAGTATCTCAGGACCAGGATGACATAGAGGTTAACATAGTAGTATTTATTTTTGCATGACGATCACGTCAGGTCAAAATGACAGAAGAAACCGTTCCTAGTATACATAACATAACCGTCACTGTACACGTTACATAGGTCATCTGAAGGCTTCTGAAGCTAATTAGACAATCAAGCCAGACATCTTCACGCTTAGGAGTGCGGTAAAGACACCCATAGTGAATGCACCAACAAGTTTCGTACTCATCGCACTCATCTCAGCAGAATGCAATTTGCTACCTCCCAAGTCTATTTCGGCCTTCTTATTCTGGTTCATTGCGGCCTTCTCCTTACTACGTGCAAGTTCCTCTGCTTTGTCCCACTTATTTGTTGGCATATCGGGTGCGTCGAGTGCACACGTAACTCCTGGAAGGCCATCAATGCTCTTTGTATTGTGGGTTGCCCAGTACTCCCGTAGACCCTTATCCGTTCGTGGTTCCAGAGTTGTTGGGTCACCCCTCGCCTCGACCTTTTGATAATATTCCATAAGCAAGGTGCGCTCTCCTCGAAAGTCGTAATATGGGACGGAGTATCCACAGGACTGACATAACACGATTTGAGCCCGACAAACTCCGCGGAGCAGGTGATGTTCACTTACTGATCCTACTTTATGGACATCGACGGTAATTGCAGATCTCGAACCCGGTTTGCGCTTGTCCTTCGGTATTAGTCCGTTATACTCTGGGGATCCATATTCGTATATTTGACCTATGCGCCGAGGTAAAGCCAAATTGTATCAAATGCGAAATACAATGGAGGTAAAATCATACCTGTCCCGAACAGCCTTACAATACGAGGTGGACCATCAAAAGCGCAAAACATGATCGTAATGCGTTTATTTTCGCGAATATGCGCGATAGTTTCACTTCCTAATCAAACAGCCAATTAGACCAATGGCCATAACTATATTATAACAACTTACCACTTCCAGTAATATCTTCATACCAGACCTTGTTTGGCCCAACAACATGGAAGCAGTCAAAGGCTCCTTTCGGAGATAAATTGACATGTCCGTCGGGAGAAAGCGGCGCTGTCGCGACCCAGAATAGGTGCTGCTTCTGAATCCATTCGAGCAGGTTCTGTGGACAAGAGTCATAAAACTGACCCATGCTATCTGTTTCTCACTGCCTTTGGTGATAGTGGGAGGAAGAAGGACTGGGGGAAATAGAAGACGAGCCAGAGGTATCTGAGAAAGTCAATGGTCATGCGGAACATGGGACGGAACGAGACTCCCGATGATCCAAGTGGCTGGGACAATCTAATCTTATCGTACCTTTGCGTAGTATTGCTGATCATGTGTTCAGTTTGCTGCTTGCTACTATCCAGACCGTCACTGTCATCATGAAATTGCACTGATAGTATTGGAGAAGGAGTCGTTAGGAAGGTGAGATTTACAATATGGGTACTGTATCATTCTTGTTGATCTATTAAGTAATTCTAGAAAACACATTTATATTCTTCGAAATCAGCAATTTCAGTGTATTATATATACATATATATATGTTTGTAAGTTAATAAAACCATCTGGATAATTTTTTGGCGACCAGGAGCATGAGTAGGTAATAATTATCAACGCTTATGCCCAGTCACTGAATTGAAGCTGCAGCCTCGAGTCAATACTATTACTACTTACCATACGTAACACTTGCCATCTTTGGTAGCAAGCAGATTATCAGCTTAATCCTCGATCACTATGGACAACCTCGCTGCCGAGCTTGCAGAATACCTCGTAGCTAGATTAAAAGAGTGAGCTTCACATTTTCCAACTGCCATATAGTAATCTCAATTCTTTATCCGATTGAGAATCGATGATTATTCTCGGTTACTTGTCGGTATCTCTGGTATTCCCGCAAGTGGAAAATCTACATTGGCCAAGCTGGTTGTTGCCAAGTGCAATCTTCTGTTTAACAAACCAGACTCGCAGGGCTCGCATACACCACCTGCGATTTTGATAGGGCTTGATGGCTGGCATCTTACTCGCGCACAACTGGATGCGTTCCCCGATCCAAAGCTCGCACATGACCGACGTGGTGCACATTGGACTTTCGACGGTGAAGCATATGCAAAGTTCGTCGCTGCAATACGTGTGCCCATACAATCTGGCTCTGAACGTGCCATCACTGCGCCGACGTTCGACCACGCTGTAAAGGACCCAGAGCCCGATGCAGTGATGGTCCTCCCTGATCATCGCCTTATAGTCATCGAAGGACTGTACGCCTTCCTTTCCATTGATCCATGGAGAGTCGCTGGGGAGATGTTAGACGAACGATGGTTCATTACAATCAATATTGACGAGGCAACGAAGAGACTGGTGAAAAGACATGTGATAACGGGCGTTGCAAAAGACATGGAAGAAGCGATTTGGAGGGCTGAAAACAATGATATGCCGAGTAAGTAGTGATAAACTCTGGTATTTAGTCTTTACTTATCTTTTTGAACTTTTCTCGCTTGTAGATGGGCTGCTTATCATAGAGAACATGCTTGAACCTACGCGACGAATACCAAGCCCAGATGATCCAACATTTGTTGATGCAATAGAGCATGAGCCAGAATAACGTGTACTTGAGTGGTGTATCATTGTTCATAGCAATATTATACAAATGGGACATTAGGAACAAAAGAACCCTCTCTAGTGCAACTTCCGATGACCGATGTCGTATACGCCACAAAGATTTTCTGCAGCTTTCTGAAGCTAATTAGACAATCAATCCAGACATCTTCACGCTCAGTAGTGCGGTAAAGACGCCAATAGTGAATGCAGCCACCAGTTTCGCGCTCATCTCAGCAGAATGCAATTTACTGCCAACCAGATTTACTTCACCCCTCCTATTCCGATTCATCGCCGCCTTCTCTTTGCCCCGCGCAAGCTCCGCTTCCTTACTCCACTTACTCGTTGGCATATCAGATACGTCAAGTGCACACGTAACTCCTGGAAGGCCATCAATGCTCTTTGTATTGTGGGTCGCCCAATACTCCCGCAGACCTTTATCCGCACGGGGATCTGGGGCTGTTGGGTCCCCTTTCATTTCAACCCTTTGTGCATATTCAAAAAGTAAGGTGCGCTCTCCTCGGAAGTCATAGAACGGGATAGAGTATCCACAGGACTGGAATTACAAGGGTTGAGTGGCTAAACTCCTCAAAGCAGATGATGTCACTTACCGATCCTACTTTATGGACATCGACGACAATTACAGACCTCGAACCCGGCTTGCGTGTTTCTTTCGGAATAAATTCGTTATACTCCGGGGATCCATATTCGTACACTTGACCTATGTACCGTGGCAAGGTCGAGGTTTGTCAATTGCGAATCCTAATAATGAAGTATATTCGTACCTGTCCCAAAGAGTCTGACAATGCGAGGCGGACCATCAAAAGCACAAAACATAATTGTAATTCGCTTATTTTCCCGAAGATGGGCGATAGTTTCACTCCCTAATCAAAAGAACCAATTAAAACCAATGGACAAGGCTATGGTTTTGGAAACTTACCACTTCCAGTATAATCTTCATACCAGATCTTATTTGGTCCGACGACATGAAAGCAGTCAAAAGCTCCCTTCGGAGATACGTTGACATGTCCGTCAGGAGAAAGTGGTGCCGTCGCGACCCAGAATAGGTGTTGCTTCTGTATCCATTCGAGCAGGTTCTGTGGACAAGAGTCGTAAAACTGACCCATGGTACGTATTTCTTACTATCCTGAGGGTTGGTGAGGGAAGGAGGACTGGGGGAAAATAGAAGACGAGTGAGCGGTATTTGAGAGCCATGGGATGCGGGTCGATGTTTCCGATGATCCAATCGGTTGGGACAATCTAATCTTATCGTATTCCTCCGCGGTATTGCTGATCCTGTTTGCAATTCGACTGAATACATATTACTATTTTCCAAAATTGTTTGCTGCGATTATACTTTTACGCTGAAAATATTTGAAAATGGGTTACCAGATGAGGACAATTCAATTATTACAAAAGAGCCAAGCAAATTTTGAAGGTCATCAGTACCTGTCCTGCTCTGAAATCAACGGTCTGCCTTCCAGGTTGGCCATCCGTGCCAGTCGGGAGAAGAGTAAGTTGTTTTTGCCCTGACCTAGTTTCTTAGCTCCACAATCTCACGAGATCATGTCTTCTGACTTCGACCGAGAGCAGAGGAAGAAAATAACACTCAATTGCCAAAGAAGTTTTAACAAGTTGTCTTCTCCTAAAACTGGATTAACTTTGATAAAAGAAAGGCCCAGGAGCACTCGACTGTGAAGGACTAATGTCTAGACAACCGACAACCAGGTCTAAAGTCAATAAAAACTGCAATGTTATTTCTGTTGAGTTATCCTTAGTACTCTGCATCACTACTTAACACAGCATCAATAGCACTTTCACTCTTTATCCTTATTCCAAGGGATACTATGCGGGACTTTATTTCTTACAGAAGTCTCTCGCAAGGACCAGATATGTCGTAACATGGTGTCCTTCTAGTGCCTTACTTGTTCGACCCAACCCTGTTTGTTCCGAACGATTACTGAGAATATCCCCTGTACGCAAGGAATTACTCATCACTAACCAATACACGTATTCACGAATGTTAGCCTACATTTCATCCCCCTCACAAGTCCGACACGGATTATTCATCGACCAGTATATACGACTTTTTCGAGATAACGACCCATGCCCTGCCTCCATTGTAATGTTTGCCATGCATCTTCGTGAAGTGCACGGTCGATTTCTACCAATTTCGAACCACCTGTAGCGGACATTGAGTTTTGCAACGGGCGAGCGTCAAAAATCGCACGGCCCATTGAGGGAGGAACGACTTCGTCTCGCGAACTTATTAGGACGAGCATGTTCTGTGCCAGGCGAGGAAGTACTTTCGTATCTTCAAGGGGATCTGCCGAGCATCCCACATCGTTTCTGGGATGCAAGGTTGGCTTGATAGACGAAAGCTCAGGCGTTGCATTATGCATGGCGGTGAGGGCATCCCATTTATCCCAGGCGAGCGGAGCGAGGTATCGATACGGCAGCCAGCGCTGTGGGTATAAAGCGTGGACCATGCCAGGAATCGATGCGAATGGGTTCTCGAGTACAAGCCCTTGAAGCTGACGTATCATTCTCTTCGTTTCGTCGTCCTCCCCGCGACACACTTTTGAATCTGAAGGAGAGTCGAGTGAAGCAAGGAGACACACAGCAATTGCTCCACCAAGCGAGTGTCCGTACATGACAATCGGCGTATCTGGCCATCGATGTGAGGCGAAGTACAGAGCGGCACTGTAGTCCGCTATGAGTCCTTGTTCAGTCGGAGTACGATTCGTTGAGGACCAATAGGATCGTGGTGCCGGTGCTAGGATGATCGGATTTAATTGTGAGGTGGACGAAAGGAGCGACGTGAAGACCGGAATACGATGCAATGGATTTCCGGCGTTTCCTATGCAAGGGGGAAAACAATACACCAGGCATGAGGCTCGGCCAACTATCGCAATGAACGAAGTGTTTACCTTGAAGGTATAATACAACGCAATCGGGCTTTTCTACCTCATATTTGCTCATAACAAGAGTAGAAAGCATTACTCGGCCCGAGGATGATATTTGCGTTTCTTCTAAATTGTATTTTTTCTGAAGCGATGATAAGTTTGGGACGTCTGATAGCTTCTCCTGACGAGTGCCAGGAGGGATATAGCCTAAAGAGATCGATAGTCGAAGTCATTCAATCAAGGGGTTCGGTTTCTCATTGCACGCACCCATGTATATTACTTTCCTTTGGAAGAGTACCATGACCAAGCACTAGCAGAGAGCACTATGAGAATCACGAAGGTCTCGCTACGCCTGTTTGGCATATCCAACCTTGTACGTCCATAGTGCTAAGGGTAGGCCAAGTATTACAGAAAAAAGCAGAGACATAGACGGAGGTTGCGACGTGGGCGTGAGCGAAAGTAGGCTGGTTGTAGCGCATAGCTTTGATGTCAACTTGTAGTTAAAATGTCTAGAATTTGACGTTGCAGAGACGGTTTCCCTTGCAGCTACGGAGCGCCGTGAAACTTTTGGAGTCCGGAATGTAATCCATCTAACAAAGCAGAGTGTTTCTCAGTTAGGATTTACTGCCACATATTGAGGGGTGGTGTTACATGCGTCGCAGTACCATCGAATTCCTAAATAGACCCATGGCGATGAATTTGATCTAAGAAATACAGACCGCAGTAGGTCGCAGTGCCGGCCATAAAAGGTGAATAGACGAAAGGAGAAAGAAATAGAAATTTAAAGAAGTGGAGAGAATGTGATTACAGCCGGCCCTAAAGTACGCGTGGGCTGAGTTATGAGGCGCTGATCCCTCGCGGAGTAGCTTCAACATTCTCCCTGTCTCTCATCTCAACCATCACTCTCTCTACACATATACAATCCTCCAAAATGTCGACGCATCCTGAGGTTTTATGGGCACAGCGTAGCTCGGCTGTCGAAGCTGAGAAGGTATTTATTTACCTACTGAGAAAAATTACAACTGATTTAATCTGATTCGTCTGGATTCTGCTCGGGCGCTTGCTTCACAGAACATTATATATCTGACCGTCAACCTCCCCGAAATCAACGAATCAACATTGAAGCTCGATATCCAGCCGAATGAAATATCTTTTGACACGAAAGCTGGCAGGTATGTTACATGTTATCATTGCACACTTGGCCCGCATATATACTGCTCTCTTCCCAGACCGGAGGAAAAGGAATACAAATTCAATCTAAAACTTTTCGGCGAGATCGATCCTGAAGTATGTCCGTGCACTTCTCCAGCACTTTCTGTATCTTACAGTCGCCACTGTCATTTAGAAATCGACAAAAAACCTCACGACCCGTTCGCTTGTTATGGTGTTGCGCAAGGCGGAACAAAAGCACGAGTTTTGGCCACGTCTAACCGGGGACAAGAAGATTCCTTACGTGAAGACCGACTTCAGTAAATGGGTGGATGAAGATGAGCAAGAAGGAGTTGATGAAGAAGAACTCGGTGGAGGAATGGGCGGGATGGATGACATGATGGGTGGTATGGGTGGTATGGGTGGCATGCCTGGTATGGGAGGTATGGGAGGTATGGGTGGTATGCCTGGCATGGGAGGTATGGGAGGCATGGGTGCAGGTGGAATGGACTTTGAAAAGGTGTGTGCAGGACCTAGCTGCAGATCCTCTATTATCCGACTGACGCATGTCCAGATGATGGCTGACATCAAGGCAAACAAGGATGGTGCTGGTCCAGAAGGCATTGATCCCGCAGATTCTGACTCGGACGACTCGGACGGACCTCCTCCCCTCGAAGCCGTCGAGGGAGGCGCGGAAAAGCCGGCTGCTTCGAGTAGCAGCTCCTCGTAGAGTTGATGCAAAAACAACTGTATGTGGCAGATGGGGTTATGGTTTGCTTCAGTTGAGGTAATCTTTTTTATGCAATGAATGAACGTAGATGAACTTGTTTTCTCTGTTCCCCTTGTTAAAAATCACGTTGACTGCGGATAACTTTCAATCATTCACAGACAGAAACCCCTTTGGCCTCAAACAGGCTCGCAGTGAACACAAAAAACTCGCAGCATGAGAAATAGACGCTCTTCACATTCGGTCCCGAAAGAGTCACTCGATTGTCTTATTGATTACGTCACGTGCTGCGATGCGCTGCGTGTGTTTTGATCTTTAACGTGACTTCCCTTGCTTCTTTCCGCCCTTCGTATAAACTGACTTGGGCATCTTGCACTCTCTCTCCCTTCCTCTCCCTCCGCCATATCACTCAGGGTACTACTTGTCTCCCTTCCACAAGTCCAATTCTACAATTCTCTGTTTTAACGCTCTGTGATACACTAACCATTTGTGCCACTTGCCGCAACTGCGCACTCCTCCATCATCACTGCCTTTGTTGAGAACTGTCTGCCTTCGTCATATTTTGAGGAATTTTCTATTTCCCTTATCCTGAGCATCACATCACACATACCTTCTATGGCTACTATGACTCTTGCTCCTCGTCCGTCATCTGGCACTAAGGGCGAGAAGTTCCTTGCAGTTACAAACTGCTTTAGAATCTCCGTTTTGCGCATGCCAGCTTTCCACCATTATCATGGTCAGTTTGAACTCATCCTTGTACCATTTAAACATTACTCACTACATACGCGTTGTAATCCAACCCAGTCAGTGAGTGAAGCTTCCCTAGCTAATATGGCGTAGCATATAGTTTATTACTTAATTGCAATTAGCCATAGTCGGAGCTTCGAACGAGCGAGAGATAAAAAACATCACTCGCCGTAGGGATATAATCAAAAAGCTTTATATCCATGACCGCCCAGATGCGTTCCAGCCCGGGCACGTTGTCTTCGATGGAAAGGCAGGGCTGTATGCTTCACAGGACCTTGGTCCTGACAGAGATGTGCGTCGTTGAGCTTTATCTATTTGTGCTGCATGAAATTAATGTTTATAATGTAGTTGCACTTCGAGCTTCAGGAATCGAATATAGGTCCCACTGTCCGGGTGAGGTTCCAAAAGGCTGGCTATATTTCTCGAGTGTATGTTTCAGGTATACTTATAACGGAAGTCTTTACATTGTCTTACATTTGTGCATAGTGATTTCGAATCCTTTTGCAACCAAGAACATCAGTCCGAGCTGGCATTAACTGCACATCAGATCCTCAATCTCCTCTTTCAGAGTTCAACTCCAAAGTAAGTTATGATGCCTTTGGATCATGGATGACTATTGAAATGTATTGCTTGTGCATAAAGCGGATTTAGGAGAGTGGAGAAGAAGAATGCTATGTATTCTTTGGCCGATCAAAGGTCTTTGGGGTCGGGAATCAAATTCATTCGTGGATGTTTCGCGTATGTCATTTCGTGATATGGCAGTTTAAGTTTGCTCAACCTGATAACAATTGCCGTGATAGGAATGTACGTTTGGCCCGTGACCATCTGATCCTCAACGTTGACGTGTGTACTACAACAATGTAATGTAACAGATTCTCCTTTCATTGAGGATTCCGAGCTTATTGTCACTAGGTACGAGAGCGACAGGCTCGACAATGTCGCAAGTCGGTTCTTAGGTTCCATGGTCAACCTAAGACCAGAAGCACTAGACAGGCTTCTGACACACCTGAAAAACGTCCGCGTACGACAAATAACAACGGGAAAAACAGGCCGTGTGAGGTCGATAAAAAAATTCGTTGCAAAAGCAGGTTTTGAGACCTTTAAGCTAGATGACGGAACTAAGATGACTGTCCAGGTGCGCCCGTCATTATTCTGCACAGTGCACCTCTTGCTAGAATACCTGTCTAGATGTATTTTCGCCAGAGGTACAACTACAAATTAGTTCATCCAGAATATCCAGGAATATGCGTCGTAAAAAAGGATAGATCCAATGAGAATGCAACTAAGATCGACATTATACCATTCGAGCTGCTCGAAGTAGTCGAAGGACAGTTTTACAAGAGGAAGCTGGATCCGATTTATCAGTCGCAATTGCATGATTTCTCTTCAGCTAGTCCAGAGCATAGGAGAAGTACTATTGAGAGATACCTGCAGGTTCTTAGGCCTTTCGTATTGAAATCATAACTACTACTGACTGTATGCCTAGGAATTTTCTCCAAAGAATCTTGCTTCCATGGGACTCCGCATTGACCGTAACCTCCTTTCGATAGATGGAAGGATTCTTCCGCCACCGACCATAAAGTACACAGGGCAGGAAATCGTTAGTAATTCTTTCTGGATTACTGGATATAAATGTCATGTTACACTTTCTGTAGATCCCAGATAGCGGCGGATGGAAGCTACCCCATCGGTCCATGGGTACATTTCATAAGCCGTGTAAAATCGATGATTGGGCTGTTCTATGTTATGATCAAGGCATCACTTCAGAGCATTGTATGACCCTTTTACAGAGCCTACTTGTGTGTCTTGGTTATTTGGGTAAGTCTGGCTCTTTTTCTTCTCTTCATCCATATTCATGTAGACAATGAATATTAGGAGTTCAAACGTATCAGTTAGTACGGGGCTTACCAAGAGCTGTGATTCAGCTCGCGAATCCTCAAGGAGACAAGCTGCAGGTTTGCATCATACCATCCATGCTTCGTGCCAAGTTTACCAGATTATCAATGTATATAGCACATGCATGCAGTCGTCAAGCGCGTGCTGAAAAATCGCGGCGAGAAAGAGCTCAAGATTCATTTCTTACTTCTTGTTATCTTGCCAATAGGAGGTGGCCCAATCGTCCATGACCAGATCAAGAGGGTCGGGGACACAGTGAAAAGCGGTGGCATGGTTACACAATGCCTGGTATGCTTTCTCAGTACTTCTTGCGGCGTTTTTTAAGTACTGTTTACCTCAGGAGTCGGAAAAGCTGAAGAAAGGATTGATGGTCCAGGGATTCCAGGCTCGCAGACCTCCAAGACTTGACCGACATCTCGAACAGTATTTATGCAACGTCATCCTAAAGTGCGCTCTACGCAGCAATCTGATCACCTTATATTAACTACTCTTCCTGTTTTAGGATCAACGTCAAACTCGGAGGTATCAACTCCGTTCCTACGGGCAACGGACTGGAATTTATCCATCAAGCAAAAATAAGCGATGCTACCATGGTTGTTGGTCAGTAAGAGAACCTATTGAAACACTCTATTATATTAAACTAGGCATAGGCTTGGATGTATCGCATCCAGCGCCTGGCAGTTTAAGGCCCTCAATGGCATCACTTGTCTATTCTGTAGATAACTATGCAAGTAGATATTGTGCACTATGTGCGCAACAGACACCACGGGTAGAAGTTATCGAAGGGTTAAGGGAGATGTTCGTTGTGAGTCGCTAAGTGCTCTTACGGTTATACTACTACTCACATGTACCCAAAATGCAGGAAGCATTACAACGGGTTTGTGAGTTTGTTAGTGTAGATGTACCTGATCCTAGTGATCCGGAGAAAAAGAGAAAGATAAAAATCAGGTATCTACCTGCACACATCCTTGTGTACCGTGATGGACTCTCCGAGGGCGAGCTCACGAACGTCTGTAACGAAGAGATCACGGCTATTCAAGGTTTGTCATCTTACCAAAGAGGTTGGAAACGAGCCTGCTTAAGATCCTTTGTAGACACAATCACGGACGTTTGGAAAGGGGCTCCAGAGGATGTGAGAAAGGTGGCTAGAGAGGACGTCAAAATCACATATGTTGTCGTCGGGAAGAAGCACCATATACGATTCTTCCCTTTCAAAGGAAAAAAGGATAGGAGAGCCGACAATTCGGGCAACTGCCCATCTGGATTTGTGACGGATGATAGCAGGATTACGCACCCGAGGATGTTCGATTTCTTTTTGCAGTCGCATGCTGGTCTAATTGGAAGCAAGTTTTTCTGGCTTGTGTCTATGGCTGGCCATTGATGGATCTATGTTTCGTGCTTAACTTTAGCATCGAGGCCGGCTCATTATATCGTAATCAAGGATGATCATGAGTTCAGCTCGGATGAGTAAGTGTCCCGCAAAAATGTAAGTGCGTTCTCGCCTGACATTTATTATAGTATCCAATCAATTACGTTTGGACTATGCCATGCATTTGCCCGTTCCAATCGCACTGTTTCGATCCCAGCTCCAGTCTATTGTAAGTGACTGACTATGATCTTTAATTACATGCACTTAGAATGTTGACTCCCTTACACCATCATTCAGATGCTCATGTAAGTAGAGTAAAGAGCTTTTTTTGGACTTAGAGAACTAACTAAATGAGAGCAGCTCATTTGCGTACGCGCGAATATCCATATCGAATATACAGGCGGGGGATCTGAACCTGGTTCTGTGGCCAGTGGTAGTGTCGAGTACAATCCTAAGGATTGGGAATTCCTCGGGCTTAACGAGATGCAGAAGAATTTGATGTATTTCGTTTGAAGAGCACCCGTACACTTGAAGGAATGGATCGCTAAAATAAGACATAATGGAAACAGCTTCATATTGTTGAATTAGGAATGTGTACAATATTACAGGTATGTAGCAAAAGTCTTCGTCATTCCTCAAAAGGTAAGTGTATCTGTAAGTGATTTGCGTTGACTTATAAGGCTGTAAGAGACACATCAAACCTTTGTCTTACATTTCTAGCATACATGAACACATTATACACACAAAAAAACATGAAAATACAAGCCATTTTGTGAAATTAATGCAAAATTCTGTATTTTTTTGTACTTCACAATGTGTCGATCAAAGCATTGATCTACATCTAATTTCTATGTATGGCATGCAAATCACTTACAAATACATCTACCTTTTAAGGAATGACGAAGACTTTTGCTACATAAGGTAAGGAAAGTATAAACTCGACATTAGACTTGACTTTCCACATCCAAGCCCTGAGTCTCACAGCTCTTTTTTGGACGACCCTGAATGGCCACTTACATAATACTTATGTGGTGGCTCTCAGACTAAGAAGTTAGGAGGGGGGGTTTGGGGGGGCAAAGCCACCCCAATTAGGTTTAGGATAGGTTGGGCTGTTAGGTTGGGTATTGGCTAGGCTTGGGGATAGGATTAGGGAGGGGAATATGTATTTTCATTAGAAAACTGACTTTATTTTGACTTAGTAAAATACAAGTTGGACAGTGAGTGGCCAATTCAGACTAACCAAAAAAGAGCCGTGGGACTCAGGGCTTGGATGTGGAATTAATGCAACTACTCGACATAGTATGTCACATCAGTCACAGCACAGCCACTTTCCCATTAGGAAGGACCCTGATGGCAAAAATTGAGCGGTGGACATTGACATTTTTTTTAGCACTTGTAAATACAAAAAAAATATAGATTATGGTTTTACAGCTCAGCCAGAATACTAGCTGGAAGGATTCTATGGCTATAGTATTTCTTATTTGCCCATTAAGCCTGTGCTCCTGTCAACCCCTTTCTATATGTATCCATGAACTGAGCAGACTGGTTACAATACTTACAAAACATATAATAAAATCAATTTTGTAAGAAAGAAAGATTTAAAGTACTTACTTTTGAAAGAAATCAAGAGGAATAGAATCAAGGCATGTTTGAACATGCTTTTCCATTTGAGCTTCAGTAGTAGGGGCAGGCATCATCTGGTAGTTGAATTTAGCATAACTCTAGCACTGTTCAATGAAGTTCAATTCACAATGGAATTTAGGATAAAAAACTGCCTTGTGTCCATAGCCTTCCACCAATTCTTCAATTGCAGACTTTTGAGCTTGAAAATCTGGCTGGTTAAACAGAATTCATTGACAGCAGCATACTGATTGTGCTGATTTGTCAGCACACTTGAAACCTTTGTATTGTGTGTGTTTTCCATCAACATTAATTCCTTGTTCTATTTACTGATCAAAAGTACATTACTCATCAGGCACGTGTTCTATATAAGGAAATAATTATATAATAGATATTTAACCGAAGTGGCAAAAATCTTCAGGAAAAAATTCAAAATTTCACCAAATTGCATTTCTGTACATTTGGTACCAAAAAAAAATTTTTTTTTTTTGGAAATAACTCACTCGAATCTCAATATTTTAAAAAATCAAAAACATACTTTTGTAGGTTAGATTAAGCTGAATATATCTATGCGGCTCAAATTTGCATTTTTGGGATACTGAGTGTCGTATTTCACCATCATCGTTTGCATCCAAATTGGGTTAGTCTGTCGCGTCACACTATGTCGAGTTTATACTTTCCTTACCTTACCTGTAGTTGGACCACTAATATCCAAATGAACAAACAGATACAAACAAGAAATCACGTGCCACGCGTCCTTAACAAAGCCAACTCTGCATTTGTCGTAAATTATGATCCATTACGACTCTTCTTCGTTTCCGATACGATGTGGTAAGTTTTCTTCACTCCTCCCACAACATTCAATCTTTCAAGTTTGAGTGACGAGTATCATGAAATGCAGGTGTACACGCTGGTTTCTACCGCTAGTTATCCTCCCCTTACCGACTGCACCGCCGTACTTCTTGGCTGTCTTCCTGGTGTCGTTGTTCCTTCATGCCAGACCTTGGTGCGCTTTTTCTTGTCTGATCCTGTGCGTAAGACGACTTGAATTGGATGCTGAACGACGGTTCTCGTAGTTTTTATTGCATGATGCTCTTAACAGCACTCTTCACATCTTCGTGCTACTGGCAAGCGGTACCCGTCGAGTCAGCACTTACGTATCCAATCGGGGACGCAACGACGTTCGGAGAGGCGCTTCGTGCGAATCTCTCCATACCTTCTCTAGACGCAAATTCGAACTTAACCAGCAATACGGATAACTTGAGCACCGATGCAATCGGAAGCTGGAACGTGAACCTAGATCTCCCGCCAGTCGTCCAACTCATCGATCGATGTTGGTGTAACGTATTCTCGAGGAGCGGATTGTTCCACCCTGGAGATGTCGCCGCTTGGGAGAGGGAGAGTGTTGATCAGGCGAGGAAGGCTATCGAGTCGCAATACGAAAGGCATAAAAAGAAGGAGAACATTCAGGAACACGGAGTCGAGGCTGCGACTGGCGATTCCTCTGGATCGAACTTACAAGCCACTCCCTCAGACGAGGCCACTCAAACCGAACATATACAGAAGGATCCGAACTCCAGATTCGCACTTCGCGGACTGCGCGACTTTCTCTTCCCAACGATGACCACATCAACTACACCGAAATACCGACTCATACCAGGTCATCCCCTTCCTTCGCCCCCACACCCCCTCGCTGCCACCAACGGTCCAAAAAGCACTTCAAACGCGGCTTCGCAGCCTGAGGAAACAAAACGATCAGAACCAGTTCAGGAAACAGTGCCCGCAAACTCAGAGCACAGCATAACAGACGCCCCTCCCATACCTACACAACCCACCAAACTCCTCCGTCCATATTACGACTTACGACCCTACGGACTCGACATCACAATCGACTTCCGTTGGCATCGCTGACCAAAAAACAAAGCAAACTCATCCCTACTTATTTTACTTACGACCTCATGTACATACATACATTCACACACATCAATTTTGTAGCATTATGCATCAACTTAAGTATCTTATTTTCTCGCGTCTCGAGGATAAAAGTTTTCTTTGTTATTTTGAAAAAAGAAAAGAGTAAGTCTATATGTGAAGCATGTTTAGCGAAAGCGAAATGTTGGGTTGGGTAATATACACATTGCAGGCAGCGCTTTTTACTTTATCGGCGAATAGGAAGGAAGCGAAAGATGAAAAAAAATAAAAAATATGTAGCGCATCTTTGTTATTTGACCAAATAAGAAAAGTCGGTGGCTTTATGTAAATTCAAAGCGTCAAGATATTAATTGATCTGGTATTGTTCAACGTCGACTCTGAAAGGAATTTGTCGAATTTTCTTTGGTTGTGTGAAGTGTACTATAACGCCCAGATCTTAACCGTCGAGTCCCGTCCACCCGTCGCAAGGTATCTATCCATATAGCGTAATCGTTCAACAGGCTTTGTATGTCCGTTCGTCGTAAGTGAGGAAAGCTGCATCGTCGTGCGGTTATAAACCTTCACACCATTCTCACCCGTAGCAGCAACGATCTTCCTCGTATCAAATTGCAACGCAGTCACACCATGGTCGAACTTGATCGTTTCGAAAATTCCACCCGTTCGGATATCCCATATCTACGCACACTTATTCAGTACTGCACCAATCCGACTATTTGCACGATGGACTCACTCGAATGGACTTATCTAGGCTACCAGTAACAACATGAAGCTGATCAAACTGCAAAGACGTAACCGGTGCCGTATGCCCAAGGAGCGTCCGATGTGCCTGTCCAGTACGCACTGCAATATCGAGCAAGTAACATCAACTACTCATCAAGATCATCAAGAGAAAGACAAGGAGCGAGGACTCACTATCCCACATCCTCACAGCCCCATCCCCACTCCCACTAACAAGTCCATACCCCCAAAACTGTACCGCACCAACAAAATCCTGATACATATCCCAACTCCCATCACTCCTCGGCGGCATAGGAGCCGCAAAGTTGTTCCCAATCGCAGTCGCAGCCCCGGAGACACTTACACCTGAACCAGAAGAAGAAGGGTGTGCGATCGCCCAGAGTATGTCCATTGTCATGACGCATTGCCCCGTTGTAAGGTCCCATTGACGTAACGTCTTGTCAGACGCCCCGCTCACAAGACAGTTCTCTTCGAAGTACAGTGCTGTGACTGCTTTACTGTGTCCTTCGAGTACGCGTGCGCAAGGTCCGTCCGTCGCCGCTGCAGACCCATTCCCACTTCCACCTCTCATACCAGAGGAGGACTCACCATCCTCCTCCTCACGAATATCCGAAAGGTTAATAATCTCCCCATCCAGTTGTTCACCCACACGTCTCAAATCCCACACTCTCAACGCTCCATCCTCACCACCAGTCAAACACACATGATCCTCAACTTGTAACGCATGCACAGCACCCGTATGCCCACGCAACCTTCCAATTTCTTCAATGCCTAGCATATCCCATACGCGTGGAGCAGGGTCGTCATCACCATCACCATCGTCACCTGTTGCGGAAACTAGTGTACCATACGGCTCTGAGAAGTCCAGAGCAGTAATAGGTGCGTTTGCGTTTTGGGAAGAGGCAGGAAGGGTGAGGAAGGCGACGCCTGGTGGAAGGTCGTCATGCTCTGAGGGCAGGAACGCTGGACCTTTTCGTCGTCTTGAACTTGTGTCAACGCGTTTTGAGTTATGCGAGTCTTCGAACTGAGTACGTTCTCGTACACCTTCAACTAAAGTAGAAGATATCAGCCTAGCCCAAAGATAGAAATAGAAAGCAAAGAACACTTACGCTCGTCATCAAGTTCTAGCTCCTCTTCCTTAAGCTTCAACAAATCAGTCTCCAGTTGAGTACGGATAACTTCCAACGCGTCGATCTTCGAAGTTATCTCAGAGATCTCATTCAACATGAGCGTGCGTCGAACGTGAATATTCTCTTTATCAAGTAAGATTTCCTGCTCCTGTCGACGCAGCTCATCCTTCCCAAGCGCAACGCTCGCTCCCAAACTCTCGCGCGTCCGACGCCCGCGTCGCCCTTTCGCTTTCGGATGTGTTGTTGTTGCGTTCACCATAACGACGTCATCCTCACTTCCGCTCTCGTGTTCGTGTTCGTGTTCCTCAGCCAACAACCCTCTCGCGCTCATACCAAGCTTCTTAAGACCCATATGTGGAGCATCGACGTTCCGAGTTTGTCTCCGACGGCTTTTACTCCTCTGCGAGCTCGGAATGGTAGCTTTGAACCCACGAAGTAAACTAACATCTGAAGCGACACCAACAGGTTCGGGTACGTCGACGTTGAGTAATTCATCATTCGCTTCGGCTACTTGCAAGTCCGTCGACGTAATCCTGCGCGTACCTAATCCAAAGCGTAGTGGTGCACGACCTAGTGCAGCAAGATCCATACGTGCGTCAGATACACCCAACGACCCACGCGTCTTCGACGAAGAACTCGACGCCGCCGTACTAATCATCTTCGGCGTCATAAGCACAGGAGCAACTATTTTATTTCACGTCAATAAAAAATTCCGAATAATTTTTTCGAACAAAACGATTGAACACGTACGGTCTGACAGAAGCCTCGACGAGTCGCCTCTCTTACGGAAGGGAGCTAGAATAGTCCTGGAAACAGCCTGAAAATGAGCACTTGCGCTGCTGTTTGACGTGGATGCATCTGTCGCAATAGGTTCTAGTGCATCTCTGGGGTCTGGTCGCCGTCGAGGACGGCCGTCTGCCATTGTCGTGGACGCCGTCGGGGACGATGGACTGCGACCTTCGAGTAGTGCTATGTAACGAACACTGCTACTGTGCATTGCCAGTCAGCGACGCGGATCACGGCTCACTTGCCGTATATGGGTGATGACTAACATTGAGCACTAAGTGAACAGTGGAAATGAATCATAAGTTCGAGGGGCGTCTGCAACAAGTAGGCTCGAAAAGCAAAATTTGTCTGCCCCTTACTTACTCTGAACCCAGCAGATCGATAGTCGTTGGACCTAGGTTCGGCTTTGCAATGGAGTGAATCAATAACACTAGACAAAAGTGACGTGAAGGCTATCGTTACATTAGACTCGACTAATGGTCTAAGTGGTGGTATTGACAACAAAGATACAAAGTACCACATAGACAAGGAGGTTATAATGACAAACACAATAAGTATAACAAATTCTCATCCACTCGTCGCTTCACCACAAGTACGTGTCCAAAGCTCTTCCAACAGCTGACTAGCCGCCGGAGGAGCCTTTACCGTTCGTGAGCGTTTCGAATCATCACTCTCCTCCCTAGTATTCCCTTCCATCTCACGCTTCCGCTTCATCGCAAGGAAATGTAGGTACTCCAAACTATGCCGGGGTGTAACGGGACGGGCGACGTCAACAGGCGGTCCGGAAAACCACAGAACCTCGTTCGTGTCAGGGTCTCGATCAAAGTACCGAGCTGATCACGCGTAAGTAACTTCGTCAATGATGCACAGAATAGGTATACGTACCCGTTTCGGCTGGAAGCTTCGCAGTAAATGCATTCGGAAGAATCGAGGGTCCACCAGCAGCAGTAATAACGCCACGATCCTTTGGAGCAGGCCGAGGCGCTGGTGTAGCAGTCGTAGACGCAGCAGCAGCTTGCTGCGGAGCATTATACGTAGTATGACTCGGCATTTGCTGCGTATACGAAGCATGTGCCCCCTGTTGAGCCGTTGTCGAAATAGATGCCTGCGCAATTCGACTTGGTCCAGGACCAGGCGCAGCAGATATCACACCAGACTTCCGAGGTCTCTTCCGTCCAGTGCCCCCACCTTCAATCTTCTCACCATCCGCACGCTCGACTGCATCCCCTATACCACCCGGCAAACGCCCACCACGTCTTCCCTTCACATTCGATTGCGGAAGAAAGGGGCTGCCTAGGCGCCTAGGCGCAACTGGCCGTTCAAACTCATAGATATGCATCCAATCCGGCTTCTTTCGTACTTCCTCAGGCACACAGCTCGCCCAATTCTTGATCCTTACAAACACCCGCTCGCGGTCGTTGTACCGGCTATCACAGACGTACAGCGGCCAGCCAGGCCACCAAAATGGTGCACGAGGCCTTCCGCGGAGGTGTCGCGCAGTAAACTGGACTGCGATCTTCTCAATGACATCCTCGAGCGGATGGTCCGCAAAGTGTCCCGTTTTGAAGACTTCACCTTCCCAAAACTCACGGTTTACAGGATGGTACGTCTGCTCAGGCCGGTAATACCAACATGCTGTCACACCAGGACGTCCAGCCTTTGATGGCTCATCGCTGATCCAGCATCTAAAAACTTGTGCAACGATTGGTCGGTTCGGATCGTCTGGATTAGCGAGATGAAGCCAGTCCGCAAGACGTATTGACCAGCCTTTGTAATTCACTTCGTCAACGAAATGCCGGTCTTTGCTAGATACACGAAAAGTCGTAACACCAGGAACAAGGTCCGAATCTGTCGATGCAGAGCCGTGTAGAGGTCGGGCCGTCCCTGGGCCTGCACGAATCGACGAGAAGTTGGTCTGGGACGCATATGGAGGACCAGGTGGAGGTGTCGGAGATGTAAGAGCTTGGTACAGACGCTGGTGGAACTTCAGCATTACTAAGAGGGTAAAAGAAAAAATGAAGTAGTTACCTGAAGGAGAAGAACGTCGCCGTATTGGTCGCTGCCGATATCGTGCCAACGCCGCGCTTTCTCAAATAGACGGATCATGTCGACGTCGAACTCTTTAGACGAAGCATACTCCTTCGCACGAGCTTTCGACTGGGTTGGACACAAGTGAGAAGAGGGCGCATGATAGCAATCGTTAAACTTACCTCTATAAGCTTGAGAGAAAGAGGATACTACAATGGAGTTAATTAGCTACAGTAGGACTAGAGTAAGAAACACGTACATTGAAAGACAGGTTCTTGATAGCGATATCCTCAGGAATGACATCCAAGGCAGCTGCGACACGGCTGTTGCTCACAACGTCCTTGTGGCTCTTGATGGCATGCGCAATGTCAGCACAACGATCCTACACGACGGTAAGCTCCAACACAACCATAGCCACATACACAAAGGAGATCGTACAAGGTCAACACCCTCAAACCACCCCTTATCTCCATACCCTCCCCACCGCGGCAGACTTCGCTCAAGCTGCCATACAATATCATCACTCTCCGCGTCTCGCGTTACAGTCGACATCGGACCCGAATAACCGTAGTTTTCTGGTTCAGCCTCGTTATCTGAAGGTCCACCACCAACATCAACGTCCATATCCGCATCCTGAGCCTGAGCCTGCGGAAGTATCGGCTGTGCGACTGGGATCGGCGCCGAAGCAGTGGCCGGAGCTGGTGCAGGAGTGGCCTTGACTTGTTTTGGGTTCGCTGTGGCCTTCGTTGCAGGTGTTTGAGGCAGATTCTTCGATGATGACGATGAAGCAGCGGGCTGTGCAGGTTTTTGCGACGATTTTTGTTTTTGTCTTTGTACCGATGCAGCTGGAAGCTCGTCTGACGGTGTCGGCAAAACAGATCGTTTCTTCCACTCGCTGCTAAACACGCCCTATGCAACTGGTTAGCAATAGAGAGAAATACACAGGATGATTCTACCTGCCTTGAGTAATGACGCATCCTTTGCAATTTGACTTCCCTCTTCATTGTAATACAATGCATTCAGAAACACAAGCGCAAGGTCCTCGTAGACATCAAGAGCCTTGTCGTAACCCTTCTTATCGGTTCTCCCCAGTTTGAACTTCACCCCATCAATGCAACGCGGCTCCGGTATTACCTGTAAAGCGAAACATGAGAGCGATAAGCAGCAGCAAAAGCAAGTTTAACGTACCTCGTAGTATTCCGGCCAAGCATCCCTGTCTGGCAACTCGAGGAACATATCTGCTAGCTTGCGCTTCCCGCGACTTCCGGCCGCTGTGGAGGTAATGGCGGAAATCACCTCCTCTATTGCTTTCTTCTGCGCATCGTTTATCGGCATTTTGAGAGGATTTTGTTCCTCTGTACGGTCTTGTTACAACAGAGCGCCCTCGTTAACAGGTTTGAGGAAGACTACATCGGTCACATCACGTTTTTGTGACATGTAAATAACGCGTAAACAACGCGCGTCTCTGAATCGAGGACAGCTACTCTATGAGTCTATTCATAATTCACAGGTAACTACTTTACAGGCCTCCTTAATGCCATAAATACGAATCGGAACGTTTTCGGAGCACATGCAAGATATTTTGGAACAAGAAAGAAAATTTAAAAGCCAATTGACAACTCTACAGCGACGTCTTGCCCCGAGGCTCGAAAGGCAACAACAGTGCAATCAACCCCGCCAAAAGGAACAAGGCTCCCGAAATCCAAATCGGTACCGATGTGGTCAGGTCGGCGTATAAAGCTATTACAGGTGCCTTTACAACAAACATGTCGTTCATGAATCAGTGTTATTGATTTGGTCCGAGCGCATATAACCTTACCATAACTCCGAAAATACGATTCGCAGTTGCCACGATCCCATTCCCTGTTCCTCTATCCTTCGTCGCGAAGATTTCCGGAGTCACCGCATACAAAACTCCATACATAATCTAATAAACAGTAAGCAAGGTCGTAAATAAGAATACTCTCAAGATTACGAACGTTACTCGTAAAACTGTAGCCGCAGTTCCAACCCAAAAGCGCATCCGACGTCCGAGCTGTCGTACTCGCAAACAGGAATATACCCGTCAATACTGAACAATGAATTATATCAGAATGTTGATACAGCTAGAAGGAATGAAGGAACCCTCACTTGTCGAAATCGACAGTGTCCCTTTTCTTCCTAAATGCGGCAACTCAACAGACCATCCAGCAAGCAAAGCACCAGGAACTCCGATTACGCTGAGAATCACTTGCTAATGGCAAATTAGGCACATGCAAAGACCCTTATCGAGCATTGAAGCTTACATTTCGATACGTGATGTACAGTGAGCCATCGCCAAAGTCTGCACCGCGGGTAGCAAGGCTAGGCGTTCGTTAGCCTTAATCCTAGCAGATACCTGTATTTACCTACAAGTATGTCACAAAGCTGTTGTACCTAGAATTGCATAGCAGTCAGCAAATTTCTCTTATTCACAAACAAATCAAAGGCTTACAAAGGGAACGCAAGGCCAATCAACGCTAGATAATCAATGACCAGAAAAGTCAATACTTTTGCAAATAGACGGTGAAATCCCAACGTACCCCACAACACAATTAGCAAACTCGTGCTCCACGCAAGCTTACGAGTCGCAAACAACGCCTTCACATGTCCACCATTGAACTTCTCCAGCTTCCTCTTCGCAGCAGCCAAAGCCGACGTATCCAGATTTCCTCCCCCTCCTCCTCCTCCCTTCGTAGACTCCTCATTCGTCTCTACGGCTTTCAGATGCTCCACAGTCAACGTGCTTGTCGTACCGTTGTAAGCCGCAAGCTTGTGTACAACTTCCACAGCTTGCTCATCTCGGCCTCGACCCATAAGAAATTTGGGACTCTCGTGCAAGTCGAAAAGAAAGAAACGGATCACCCAGAGGAAGAACATTGTTCCACCCATCGTAAATAGGAAATAGCGCCATCCTTGATTCTGCGACCGAGGACACGTTTGAGCGGTCGTTTCGCAAGAGAAGTTCGCTATGAGAGGCCAAGCGATCTAACAGAAGTAAGTCACCAACAAGTTGCCATACTGGATGATATTGAATCACCAAGCTCCCGATAAGCTGTCCAAAAGCCCACCATATGGATAAGATAGTTAGCAGATACTGGTGGCTTCCCGGAATGAACTCTAAAGCATACACATGAATAAATCGAAGATTAATTATCGTTCTGATACTTCACCTAAGAATACCGCAGAATCAACAGGAAGATTGCCACCGACTCCAATGCTCCAAAGCGTAGCGAACCAAATTAAAGCAACGTAGTTCGGAGAGCCACCTGCCGCTATCGCAAATACCGCCGTGATCAACAAGGTGATATTGAACGACCATCTGAAAAATGAAGTTCCATGAAGGAGAGTTTACCGGAAGAAGTGGAATGGATTAACCTTCTTCCCCAAATATCACTGCCAAGGCCCCAGAAAAAGGCTCCGACGAGGAGGCCGATATTTTGACCGAGCTTCAAGAATGGCCCTTGGAATTGGAATTCGGTCACGACGGGATCAAGGATAAGCCCAGTAACAATCTAAAAGAGTAGATGGGGAAGATTATATAAGTAAACTTAGCGTATAGAGAATAAACTTACCGGCCAAAGGTTATCTCTGTAAAAAAAAAAGGTTCAGTGCTTGCTATGTATTCGTGAAGTAAAGAACTAACGCAAACCAGCCGAATCCTGCAACAACGAACAGTTGCCACTATTCGTGAACAAAATGAGTATTGGAAATAAATATGCATATAACATGCGAGCTTGCCTGGTATTTCCCCATTCCAATTTCTTGAATCGCATTATTCAAGATGCGCGCCTTGGCCTGATAAACAGGATCTACACTGCCATCAAACAAATCAAGCGTTTCGTGCTCCTTTACGCTCGAAACACTCGGTGTACCAAATGACTCGTTTGATTTTCCGTCCTTTGCGTCCTCATTAGCATGCGACGACTTGGACGGCGACATGGTGGGCGTTCAAGCTCGAGTAGATTTTCATGTCCGACATAAAAAGCGCTCCACATCGACATCAACAGCGACACCGAATAGAAGAGAGAAATTGCGCCATAGCATGTGATGTTATATAGTTCCAGGGCTCAATTGACAGGGTTTCAGGCTAGGAGAGACATTTTAGACATGTTCATATGCGCGTTTGTGTTATCTCTGTTCCAGGCGCGCGGTTATCTGAATTGAAAATGGAAGTTGCGCAATCTTTTGGCACTCTTGGCAAGCGAATGATCGACAATAAGAACCGGGAACAGATGGACCAGGCGAAGAAAGCTGACCACCGGAGACGCTGATTAGGTCCAATCGCACGAGGAGTATAGAAAACTAGTGCCTCTATCATACCATACCCATTTGCAAGAACAGTTAGAAGAGCTGGAGAACTACCATTTGTCGATGATGTTAATTGCGTACCCGAATGGGTTCGAGGTTGGAGGCAGCAGCATAGCTCGAGAAGAGATTACACATACTTCAAGTCGTGCAAGAAGTTCATGGAATCAAAGCTACTCCATGTCATAAAACATTTTTAACTTCGAAGACAGAAGCACAAATCCAGATCCTTGGTTTCGGTTCCAGTGCATATTAATATACAGTGGCCACCGAAAGCAAAGGTTGCATTTCTATAACCTAGTTGATTGGAGTGCTTTATCGGACTCGACAAGTAGATACCTTAGTAGATGATGCCTTTGGTTGTTTACCTTGTCGTGGAGATTCTCCTGGATTTCGACAATAAACAGAATATGAAGAGGTGCAAGTTGGATCTTTATGATATTTTCGTTTCGGTCCCGAGATCGTGAGAGCGTCGGACTTGGACAAAGCGCACAACACGTCCCTGCTCACCGCAGTCGCCAACCATCATGAGCCTGTCTCCAATATTCTATCACTTTTTCTCCTCTCCTTTACCTTATGCACGGACTCTGGCTCTTCAAAACTTCATTCACGGTGTGCAGTTAGAACGAAGACGCGCATCTGGAGATCACAGAGACTATTTATTGCTGTTGGAGCATCGGCCAGTGTTCACAGCAGGGAGAAGGCAACAAGAAGACGAGATTCGCGATGAGAGGACGCGATTACATCGAATGGGCGCGGACTTCGAAAGTACTCAGCGTGGTGGCATCTTGACCTACCACGGTCCAGGACAAATCGTCGGATATCCGTTGATAGACCTCGGTCGGACGACACCCGCGCTTTCCGTGCGCGACTATATCTGCAGGCTCCAGCGTACAATCCAGGACTTCCTTCGGGAATCGCACGGGATCATACATGCTCCGTCAGAACATACCGGTGTATTTGTAGACGACGGAGATGGACGTGGTGCGAAGACGAAGCTTGCAAGCATTGGCGTCCAAGTACGCCATCGACTTACGAATCATGGCTTCGCGCTCAATGTCACTCCCGAACCCTGTCAATGGTTTAACACAATCGTTGCCTGTGGACTGGCAGACGTGAAGGCCGGGTCAATTGCTGGGAGAAGCATAACAGCCGCCAGTGCTGGTATTACTGTGCCTGGCCAGATACCCAAGCTTGTAGAGACCTTTGGGCGTGTCATGGAGCGAGACCTGATAAAACTTGACCTCTCTGAGGGCAGCCAAGTATCGGACGCAATTGCAAGACTCGAGGAAGAAGCACAATTACTCCACCGTGAAAGCCCTCCTCCTCAGAAGCCAGTAATCTGATGCATGCCGCTTACATCCGACATGACATGACAACTATTCTTAACCAGTATTCTTAGAAGCCTAACAATAACTCTTTGATGATCATTTACTTGTGAGCAACTTTTCTCTGCCTAATTGCGCATCAACATTTCCTCTAAACACATCTCATATCACAGAACATAGATAGTGTCCTACTTCTTTCCCGGCAGCTCGTTCGCCCAGTATGGGCAGGTGAGGCTCTCGAGGACCTCTGATAACATGAAGCCGCTCTCTTACCGCAAAGCATGTGCTCTGGAGCGCCCTTTCCTTACCGCATCTCCTTCGTTACAAACGTTGGTAGCCTCGACTGTTCGATTCTACTTGAATCCGGTATTGCAAACCCACACGAGTTTCGCGAATCACGGAAGATTATACTCCCGACCTCGAAAGTTTCAAATTCTACTCTTCTAAGACAGTCTTCCTGAACACCAGCAGACCCAGAGCTTTTCCTAAGGGAATATCCGACTCCTTCATCTCCCGTGTTGCAATGGGACCTCGGCACAAGATACCAGGCTCGGCTGACAACTGCTTCCTCATAGTCGACCCTTCAATGCATATGCTGGATCGCTTCTACGATGCTCTTCTAAGAGGAAGATGCAACCCTCGCTGTGTCATCTGCACCCTGCAGGTAAAAATAACTTAAATATCAAACTTCAGGTCAAGAGCCTCGCTTATGATTCATGGGAGACGGCACGGAAATTTTGGGCAATTCCGCGGCTTCTAAGGGGCAACGCCGACAAGCCGAACATGCAAAACAAATGTCAGGTCCGTATTCTGGAAGCTAAAAGTACAAATGGTGATCTGCGCTACGTTGTTGGAGGTATCAATACAAAATGTCTCTGCACTTTCGAGTGCAATTAATTGCATGGCAGGGAATCCGCAGGGAACACAAAGGAGGAAGGGAAGAAAACCGGGATTGTTACCAAAGCCGACATGAAGCTTGGGTAGAATCCGGGCTACGCGGGGATAAATGTTGCTCTTTTTGACTCTCTCGCCTCGCGGACCGCCGATTGTGGCGGGTGTGGCGTTTGGACGGCCTTCCCCATGCCATGTTATCTTCATCAATCGATTCTGCGTACTAATGGTAACACAGGTTAATGCTATTGCTTTCGAGGACAGAAGGGCGTCTGCATACCGAATCATCGTCACTTTTAGCATATGCAAGACTGTCAACACTGCTGTTCTTATGGTTTCCGAGTCGACGCTGCATCAAAACTAAGTATTGGACATGTTTGCTATGTGACTGGAAGAAACTCACGGAACCAAACACTCGACAAAGACGCGAGCGAATTGCTTTCAGGATACCTACAGATCGAGATGGCCGACTGGATCCATGAGATTTCTCATCATAGTCGATGAGGTATTTATGCTGTCGTTCTGTGGTGGTATACGACTGCAACATATTAAAGACAGGACGAGTTGAGGAAGATCAGGAAAGCAGCGATGTGGCACATTCATAGACATACAGGAGCAGGTCCCCAAGAGGAGGTATGATAATTGTCGTAGTACACGGTAGAGGACATGACGAGAAGAATAGAATGTTTAGATCGTATGAGACGTGATGAACGTGAAAATCGTCAGATGGCCTTCAGGCCTTTATAGTAATAAGACCGGTGGAGGCAAATTGATAGAAGCGGTGGAAGAAAGAAGCGCAGCACGGCGCGGTCCTTGCACAAATGTTTCTGTTCAGAAGCTTTTATGAGCTCACAGGGCGCGCGCAGCACACATGCGGCGGGGTCGGGACTTTCGAAGCTGCTGCGTAACAGATGGGGACGGCGTAGGGGCGGGGGTGTGGGGGAAATGGGCAAGAGTGGGCTGACATATCATTGCAAACTTATATATATAATCTAGTGCATGTGTACAGCTTTTCACTGTGGTCCATGGAAGGTGTGACCCAATAGCGAAACTCGGTTCTGAGTGCTCCAATTCATATTGGATGGATGGATCTCCAACATGATCACCCACCGGCGCGCGCGGCCGTAAACTAAGGAACAGGATATGAAATGATCCAGCGTCCGCGAATAGGATTCAGAATATATTGCGGAACTCCGATGGGTTTGAGGTCATGCGCCACTCAGACTTAGAAGCGCTATAATTCATCATTTTGTTAGCTAGAAAGCGGAATCTACAAATTACTAGCGCGTGGACCTCTGGAGATTAGAGTAAGAACAAGTAATGTACCTTGCACTATGTAATGGGCTCCGATGCGTTAAAAGTGGTGACGTTGCAAAGAGATATGATGGGGCTTCCGAGTAAGAGATGTTGGCGAAATAAAAAATGGACCTCCTATTCGCACAGCGCTCCCTTGCCCGTTTAGACCGAACACAGCTTGTGCGCCTACCTCTGATGCTCGCAATCACTGCGCTGGATATATCCATATTTTCTATTTTTACCGAGCCACGTAGAAAGCGCCCCATATAACCACAAGCACGAGAAATATTTCAGCAATACGATAATCACGAATTTTCGCGCCCACAATTTCTTCTCTTTTCTTGCACCTCATGCTAGCATACTCAGGCACAGCGAGAACCTGCTCGGTAAATATGCCGCAAAGTGGCATTCAACCTACGCCTTGTTAGCGATTGAATGAGTGAGAAATTTGCCTCCGTTTCATGATTGTCATGTGAATTTGGACTAAGCTGAAGACCTACACAAACTCAGACTAGAGCCAAACTCCGTCCATACGATTCAATACGTACGCAATAAATTACCCGAGCCCCCAACGAGCTAATGGTGAGCAAATAATGGAAAAACGCCACAGGCGGCAGACCCACATTCGTTTCACGAGTCATTGAATTTCGCACATAAATCCCGGCTCGTTCTGGCGAATGACGGTATGAATCCTACGAGTGGAGCGCCTTGAGGACCGCTTTTGAATGAACTCATCCGCAGCAGACATACAGCTTTGATTGACCCCAGTCTTAAGAATCCCGAAAGGAAGGTAGACTATTGCCTGTGTTTCATCTAGATTCATGACTAGGGAAAACCCCTTCGACCAATAAGTCTTTCGTGATTTGCAGCCCAGGGCCGTGGATAATCTGCACATTGGTTTGGGTCCTTTCCAAAAGGCACAGAGCTTGAACAGGCCCGCCTCCGTCGAGAGAAGAAAAGCCTTAAAACGGAGTCGGAAACGGAAGGTCACTCCGAAAGCAAAGCTCTCAGATCCGTTCTTCTTCCGCTTACGAGAAGTGGTTGGTGCAAACCTACGCGTGCCTGGCTCAAGGGAGGAGTGGTACATCAACACTCAGTGTTGATTTGGTGTTTATGTTCATTGATGTTCAAAGGCGAACGTGAATCGCTTTGTGAATTCTTGTTTGTCGACGACCAAAAGATTCCCACGAGTTCTAGCTTCAAGTTGCTGTCTTCTTACCTCTACATTGAACACAACCTAACAAAAAAATCAGCCATCTCTATTCTCGCCTGCTATTGACATCTTCTTCCTTTCGGGCCTAGTTATAGAACGATGGATCCTCGTTCTTCTGCTGCCGTCATAGAACTGCACTCCTTTCTGTGCCGACTCGGAGTGTTCGACACCTTTATCGTCTTCTGCTCTGTGCGTTATATCGCTTCCTCTTCTCCGCTTCAATGCTTTATCAAGGAATTTGGGCTCCACTCCAGACTTCATCATGTAAAGGTGCACATTCTCTCAGTTCGCTTCCGAGATATGACATGGACTAGTGTGGCAAGGAAATTACAATGACGATTGTGCGGTCCTTTTCGTCCTATCTCGTTCCAACATGCGGTAGAACCTGACTTGGACTGCATGGAAGTACTTTAGTGAAGCAGCTATTCATCTGCTCCTATGGGCAAATTTCCTACACATAACTCTGTTTCGAACTCTTTGCCGGTGGACGCAAGGCGCCTTCTGTGTCTCCTCCCATTAGAACATATGTTCGACGACCTGATGCCTTGCCCTCACATATCCAATCTTTCCCATGAAAAAGAACTTTACGGCGTCCATTCCTATATCCGAACTTGGAGATCGGCTATGGCCTCTTCTTTTCTCTGATTGGGATAATTTGAAAGAGACGCAGTTACCGATCATTACGAAGCCCTGGCTTAGTTCCTCTAGAGGAATTACTTTCAGTGCGGAATACACCTCTTCAATCGTTACTCCGCGATAGTGTATTCTCGGTCATTTCGGCAAGATTCGTGTCCCTCACTGGTGGTTCTTCAAGCTCAATGGGTCGTGCAAAGACCGCATCGTACCTAAGCTATGCCGCGGAATACAGAAAGGTCCTATTCAATCAGTTTCAATTGAAGTACTGCTACATACAGCCTGGTATAGGAAAGGGTCTAGACTCTTCAAGACTCTCCAAACTGTTACGGCCAGGTGCCATCAAGCAAATTGAGCGGTAATAATCTTATTGAGATGCTACAACAATAGCGCAATAGAGCCCGGAAACATTTACAGACAAATTACCCAAAATCAAACAATATATACAATAAGTATGATAATAATGTTCCTCCGATATCTATGAGTGCCTTGTCTTTAACTGAATCGTCTATCCCTCTTACAGTCATTTCCTTTTGCGAGAAACAGGGCCCCATGCGATATTATCATCGTCCATGTCCTGAGCCTGATATTCGGTGTCAATGAATTAAAATAATTAACGGGGAGATCGAGAATTCTCACATAGCCACTCGATGGGCTTGAGACAGAGTATTGGTAAGAGCTCTGGCTTTTACGCTTCTACTTAATGAGTTAAATTATCGGCAGTAAAATGGTGGTGAGTGAAGCTCACTGAATCTGCATCGTGTAGGCGACGAAACCCAGATTGCATTGATAGTCTCGATAACGGAGATGAGTTTGTCGACGATGTCTAGAAAGATCAAATATCAGGAAAAGGCATGCCAGTACACCATTTTCTTCCACATACGTTTATGCTGCTGGTCGTCGAGTTGGACTTTCGAGATTGTGAAAGGCTAAGATTGAACATTTGGACTAGACTAATCGAGTAGCAGAGAACAGGTATGATACTGGTCGTGCAGAGTTACTTCGAATAGGTGCCGAGTTCAGATATGCTACCGTACTGCAGACTTGATGATCTCGAGCGGAAGAGATTCGTGACTTTATAGCTTCAACAGGTCCGGGGCGGTTTAGGTATATTTAGCTCAGAACGTGCAACATGCTCTGAAAGATTTGGAACGGCACGGGGGCAATCTGGTCAGAAATGGATTTAGATCGAAGAGAAGGACCCGGGTGTTAGAGTTCAGTACGTTGCGTGATAGCAGACCACCAAGCGGCGGAGCCTTAATAGCTCCAAGGTGCGGGTTAAGCTGTCTTATCTTATGGACAGTATTTTCTCAGAAGAGTCCTGGCTAGGGAAACGGAACCAGTCTTTCACAAGAACTATTTCATTTAGACACCAGAGGGCGGATGGGGTGAACAAGAGGTGGCCAGGCACACCGTCCTGATGATATTGTTACACTTCCAGAGTCCGCAGCATTCATACCGGCTTCATCGTAATTGACACTCGTGGACGTTCCAAATCATTCTGCTCGTCGGTCGGGTCATCCATGTGACGCACTCTAAACCGTAGCTCTTTCGAACAGACCGCCAGATTGAGTACTCGCGTCTCCACGGTACTAGCAGAGTTACATCCGCTGCCGGAGCGTGCTGGCAGCGCCGAAAGTAGTTTGGATTCGTGACTTTTCCTTCTTCCACCTGATACATAACAGAACGAGCTAACTAAGCGGAGATAGTGGAGTATCGATGAGAAGAAAAAGCTGAGAAAGGAATAATGGTCTGTGCTATTCTGACTTCAAATTTTCAAACTCAGAATCACGTATCTGGGTTACTGCCGATCACCATAAAAATCGACACATCTTTTCCTCTCCTGCAGCTTAATAAAAATCATGCGTCGGATCTAACGAGCTGAAAAACTGTCTCATTTCGCTCTTCTTGAAATCTTTGGAAACGAAGTTGCATTGTTTTCGCTGTTAGGTGGCATGCGTGCTCGAAACCGCTTCCAAGGGCTCCGAAAACGTCGCAACACTGCAACTCAGTAAAGATACTGCCTGCTTGGAGAGAAGCAGGGGCGGCTTGTCCTTTCGCGAATATTCCATAGTTTTGGAAAAGACTGCCAGCAATGTCACCCCCATGAGGTGCCATGATGATAAGTCGGGATATTTTTATCCTCTCTCTGCAAAAAATAACAAGCCGCTTAGCCTTAACTTACATCTTGACTTCACGTCAAGCATTGGGAATGTCTTGGAGTCTCCAAGTTCTTGGTCGGATACCAAGATTTGCACTAAGCAGAGCTCCTTGGCATTGGGTCGCCTGTGAAAACTGACTATGGGCTCATTTTCCCATGGCGAGCACTGGTTCTCTCATCCGTGGCAGCGTCTCACAACAATTCACTAATCATTACGAGGTTTGTCTCAGTTCATGTTAAAGTGAGCATAATGGATAAGCACAAATGTGGAACGATTTCTAAATTGGATCAGTTTATATTGAAGGAATACTAATCAATATAGTAAAGTGGAATATAGTACAACCTCTTATCATTTCTGGATTGGTGCGTCTTCGTGAATCATCCTCAGTGGTTGCACTGGGGAGCTGAGCATTTGATTTAGGTCAGAATATACCATACAATGAGAGAATTTTGTAATTGCACTGCACAGTCAGCAAACACCACATAATAGGCTTGGCTGCTCATTTGAGAGAGTGTAGTATTGTCGCTCCGACACTTGGCCCGTGTCCGCTCCAATTTAAACATGTCTACAAGTCCGAGTCCGACACAGATAGCGTGTATAACAATTAAGCTCGAGGTTTTTCATCGCCTAAGGAGAAGCTCGTTCTCACTAAAGGAAGGGGCGGATGCTTTCAGCTCCTTTGCTTGTCTGTCTCACCATCCTAACCAAGTTGATGGTTTTATCAATTACTGGAGTTGATCCACTCTGATCTATTCTACTGATTTTTAGATACATCAACGTCTTAGTCTTCTTGTTTTATGTGTATGGTCTCTATTTCCGAATTTCTCCCTGTTGTCAAAATTCCTCAAAACTGAATTTTCCTCTATTATACACTATGTCAGAATAGTAATGACTGTCTAGTGGATCAGTTTAAGAGTTGGAATAAATGCTGTTATTCCATTTCGAGTATGGAGTCTTACATTTTTCCGTGCAATCTTTTGTATATTTAGTAGGACACTTGTAACTGGTGTATATATGTGTAATAATGTGAATGCATTACTATGTATACAAATATAAAATAGTAGTCTGTAGTCCAAGACATGTACTGCTTCCTGCTACTAGTAGTGAGAATACTTAGGTGTGGTTTATTATCACAATCTGCTCTTCTGTATTCTTCTAAACAGTGCTACTGGATGCAGAACATTGCTTATTACAATACTATGATTCAGGGAGATTATCTTGATAGTGTATATTTATGTATAAACTGTAGACAAATATAATAATATGTAGTTTGTTAAATCAAAAATCAGTGAATACAACAACCTACAGTATGACCAAGAGCCTGGCTTACACTTAGCCTGTTCCTCCAATCTTTCACTATTGTTTTATCAATAATATCTCATAGCACTGCTTGATACAGATTTATTAATAGTAACTTCTGTATTACTAATGAGTACAATGTGCTTACACTTTTCTTGTTTCCATATTAGCTTTTTTGGTTTCACAAATGGATGTTCTAGATTAGCAGCCTGTAGAATAGTATTTTGCTACACACATCTGATCATTTGTCTGTACTCTGTAAGAAAATATTTAGTTACTTACTCTGCAAGTTTAATAAAATAATATACTATCTATACTCCTGTGTCAATGTGAATGCCTCTCAATAATCTCCTGTATTCTTTTATCTGTGTTAGGATCAAATGTAAGATCAAATAGAGTGACTCCTTCAATCATCTCAAACACAGTCACTCTACAGGTACATACACATGTAGCACTATTGTACTGTTGTCTAGGGTAGATACTTACATTACAGACTACATATCTGATTTATAGCTTGCAATGTTATTAAACCTTTCTAGCACTTTATAAATGTCAGTTCCAGAAGAGAAGGAATACTCAACATAATCCTTCCTCAGCTTAGCAAATGTTGCCCTGATAGTTGTAGTGAGTAAGAATTAGAGCTTCAGACAGGAAGATGGCTCACAATCCAAAATCAGACAACTTTACAGTATAGTAGCTACTGTTAATTGTAAGTAATATATTCTTTAGTCTGTAATTGTAATAATTATATTTTTTTCTCATTTATATCTATGACTGATTTACTTAATGTTACAATGAATGATCTTTTGGGACTTTAAATGTATGAGTGCTCTTAAAAGTTGGCTAAATTGGGCCAAGTTTCATAATGTAATAACAACACTGAAGTTCTATAATATATTACTTATACTGATATGTCTGCAATATCCTCAGGAGTCATCTGTTACTGCATTTCTTTGTGTAGCCTTGACTCAACAAACTCTATGCACATACAGAAATAATCTCAATCCAGGAATGTATTGTGTTTGTTTGTGGTGGTAAAGAATGCACCTATATACTTGACCTGGAACAATTTCCTCTAAACAAATTCATTTATAAGTAGCAGGTAATACTGATTACTTACAATATTCTTGTGAGGATAATCTCTCAATTCATCCAATACTCTTTTCTCTTGAGCTATATTGTCAAGGTAGAGTTGCTTACATAATATCTTTAACTGTATGACATGATTTAGGCACTCCTGTATGTACAGAATAGTGTGAAACTTTCTATTTGTTGAGAATCTGAGTCAGTGCTTTAATAGTTGCATCAACATCAAAGCCCCATACAAAAACATCCCCAAATGCGCCTTTCCCAATCCACTTCCAGTCGTCTGAGACCATAATTCTGTACTGTGAATTTGTCAACCTCTGGTATGCCTCTCTCATGGGTGAGTAATCATGGTAGTAGAGTGGCATTGGACATTCATTCAGTTTGTTTTCACTTTTGCAGCAACTAGATCCTATATACCTAGCAAAGTATTTTTGCAGGCATAGTAAAAGCTGGAGTCTATTTTAAGCATATACACACTATTGCTTCACTGAAAATTTGCAAAGTCATCTTAAATGAGAATATGAGTGCTAGGTATGCAAAATTATTCTCTCCAGGTTGATATCACACCACTCTATTTTGTGTGGATGAAAAATGTTACTTGCCAATATTTAAAGTGAGGAAGCATACACTATACATAGTACGTTAGACAACCCAATTAGTCCTATTGTACATGTGTTTGAAGTATCCCGGGCCCATAAAAATTCGGACACAAACCGAAGCTTATCTAAAGCTTATTTTGCTTGTTAGACCATCCTTTCACCAGTGTCACGACTCCTACTTCATACTCCGAAGTGGCTGGTGCAGTAAGGCGTGGTGAAGTACTAAATCGGCCGAACCTGCATCTAAGTATAACGTACACATATGTGTAGTGTATTTAGAACACCTTGCCGAAAGAGTATTTTGGGGTCATTTGCCACCCAACGTATAATTGCGACCGATCGTAGGAAGAATGCAGTATATCCGTACGCCAGAGACTCTCAACTTCTAGAAGCCTAGTGAATAATCTTAGAAGGTCATCATGAGCCTGCTACAATGAGCTTAGACACCACAATGCCAGTGGAGAGTACAAAACATACAACAGTAGTCAAAATTAATCACGAATAAATATAGTACATGAAGTCATCATATGTGCGTACAGAATCCAGAATAGAATGAAAAGCGAAATGTCCGAAATAATCATGAACGCCTCTTCTTGTGGGATACAGGACCCCACGCAATATTGTCGTCATCCATGTCCTCAGCCTGTCAATGGACGATATAAGCTACTACTTACAATCAACAAAGTAAAAAACAGGTATTCACATAAATGCGCGAGGGATTGATTTCGGAGTATTGGAATGAATCGGAACTCTTGTTCGCCTAAGTACGCAGTCAGAACAACACGTGGCGAAGAATCAATAGTAAGGCTTACAGATTCCGAATCGTAAGAGCGACGAAGGCCAAATGGCACAGATAGCCTCACTGAAGAAGACGAGGCAGATGATGACGTCTAAGACGGTGCAGAATTAGACACGGAATTATATTGTCATGATATCATCCAACTTACATGTATGCTCGCAGTCGAAGAGTGAGCAAGTCGCGAGTGTGGCAGAGTGAGGTTCATCATCGTGATAGTAGTTGTCGGAGAGTGTAGCGATAGAACTTTATGGGGAGTAATTTGCAACGGAAGGCTGCTCAAGTCGAGAGTTGATTGTGTTACTGGATGCTGAGCATTCCGAGACCAAAAGGACGTCTGCTTTATAGTCTTTGCAAGACCCGAACGGACCGTGCAAATTTAGCTCAGAGTTTTTATTTAGGTCAGATTAAGTCCCATTTTCTTAGCGTTTGGAGCGGCTGGCCGGAAGCATTTTCCTTAGCGACAAAGTTAGATAGAAGTGACCCCATCCTTACAATTCCAATCGAAAAGACCAAGAAGTCCAGTATCAGTGGAAAAACAAGACAAGCTCAAACTCGACAGTCTTGGCAAGAGCGTCCCTGATACAGAGTTGAAGCATTCAACACAACGCACAGAAAGCCAGGACGTATCACAATCGTAAGTCGCCTTTCCCCGCCGAGTCGGACGAAACACGTGTGCATTGTACACTAGGCACGGTGGACAGTCAACAGGAACCCGGATATCCGTAATGCCGATGCGGAGTGCACTGCAATGACGCTCTCTAGGACAACTAGCTTGATTGTCTTTGTCCCTCAAAGATTGACATGTGACGCATTCATCTGTAGCCCTCTCAACTACGTCGTTAGATTGAGCTCCGGTGTCTCCACGGTGCTAACAGCGTAGGTCCGTACACGGAGCATGCTGGCAAGCTCCGGAGGCATTTACACTGCTATCATTTTGTCTCGCCTCCGCTGTGCAGGAAAAGCGTCTCGAAAACGCCGAGATGATGATGATGAAATGATGGGAAGAAAAGGCTCGAAGAGGATGCACTCAAGCTTGCTTCTGGCTGTGAATTTTCAAACTCAGACTACTCGGCTGCCGACCTTACCTTACAATTACATCTCTATTCCAACTCTTTCGTTAACATGCACGGCGATATCCGCATGCTTCATATCTGTTGTACCTCATTTTCCATCTTGTCAACGGTTCCTGAAGCTTTGTGATGGAAACTTCGTAAATTCGTATCGTCCTTATGCTTTTCTGACTACCTGTCTCTATACGCGTTTGGCAACATGCTTCACACATAATCGCTGGCAATTCCTTGCAATGACGTTAGCCAAAGGAACTGTACAAGAGGAGAGTCAAAATTGCGATAAGGCGCCTTCCAGACGCTTCTGTGCTATACGTCATGATTTCATGCAGTGCCTTTTCATGAGGAGTCAAGAAAATTAGCTTGCGCTTGTCTTTCCTCTCCAAAAATACCTTGCTATATCAGCATGGAATACACCTTGGCGGGCGCCGAGACTGGGGCATACAACTACAGTCTCCACTCAGCTGGACGGTTACCAAGATTTGCATCATAATATCAGCCTTGGCCCTGGTCCGTGTGTGAATCCGTCCGTTCAAGGTCTATTCACATGCATGCAAAGAATGATATTTTGTACCTGGGAAGAAGTAGCTCGCATAATGCATTGGTGATCGGTTGGGTATTTCTTCCCCTCGTCGGAAGCGAAAGGTTTGTATTATCGGAGATAGAGTACGAGATTGTAAGTAAGGGAGTAATCTCCTGCTTTTGGTTATCAACTCGGCCGAAGGTATTGCTCAGATCAAGGACGGCGTAAGTCTCAAGTTGAGGAACAAGACTCCTTATCTACTATACTTGGCGCATCGGGACCCGGTGGTGAGCGCGTAATACGAAGTAGATAGCTCCAACGTACCTCGCATGAAGACAAGGAATATTTCAGGGCTTACGTTGGTCAAGACAGTCTGGATCACTTTCGCGAAAGATCGAGAAGTGCGTATTTCGGTCCATTTGCTGAATGTCGGTACCGTCCTGGAAATGTCTCATGCGTTGAATCCTCCTGTTAATAAGATATCTTCTCACAGAACACGCTTGGCGAATATCCTCGGTGGCACTAGACATGTCTGGTGTGAAGTGCGCAGCCGTCTTCAACCGTACAACACTGGGGAACTTTCACGTTTTCCATCTCACGGCTCCGCGGATGGAGATTGCGGCTCCATACGATTATTTGATCATTATTTGTCTTTCTAGAGGCATCGATGCTCCAAACTAAGCCAGCTTGGCGTGTATGTCTGTTGTAAATTTAACTTTCTGTAAAGTCGGGACACGCTTTGTAGCTGCTAACACACGAATGTATTATGTAACATGATTACTCGAGTTTCGCCTCACGCCCACATGACCTTGACCTCATACGTCTATCAGTATCAGTGACCCTCGGTACGGACCATGAACAGCCTCCTTCTCCTCGACGTCGACCACCATTGCAGCGACGAAGGCTGTCGATTACTTCACGTCCCTGGAGAGTGAGCCTAACTAGTCGTTATGGTCTCAAACCTTGCCAGTCGGCCGCTACGACGCCTACTCACGCGTCGTCCGATTCTTGCACACCACTTCCACCGCACGTCCGTATGGGCAACGCGTAAGATTATTCAGCCTTTCAAGCTCGCAGATATTGGAGAAGGCATTACCGAATGCGAAGTAATCAAATGGTATGTCTATGATCGAGCTTGGAAGCGTATTATTCACTCACCTGATGCCGGCCGGTGACACTGAATTAGGAATGTGAAGCCGTCGAGCAATGTACAATTATTCGACCCTCTATGCGAAGTTCAGAGCGACAAAGCAAGCGTAGAGATAACAAGTCCATTTGAAGGTGTCGTGAAGGAGCTCCTCGTCAGAGAGGGTCAAGTGGCAAAGGTTGGTGAGGATCTATGCATGATTGAAGTGGTCGACGAAAGCTCCGAAGAGCCTGGAGCTGCCGATGCAACAATGAATGAAGACATAGTAGAACAAGCTACATCGGTACATGAACCTGGGACAAGCAGCTCGGAGCAATCAATGCCAGCTAGCACTTCGAGTGGCGTTGAGCGAAACTTGCATCCTTTGGATCCGCGTGCACAAGCTGAACACAAGTCAGAACCACTGTCTGTACTTGCTCTTCCCTCAGTACGGCACTTTGCGAAAGAACGTGGCGTAGATTTGACGCATCTCGCACCCGGTTCTGGGAAAGGTGGTAGAGTTGAAAAGAAAGATGTCGAAGAATTCCTTGCGCGTGCTTCGTCCCAAGGTTCCACACACCTGGCCGGGCCCTCAATACAGGAGCGTGCAGATAATGAAGTCGTCGTGGAACTAGGAAGAACAAGGCACGCTATGTGGAAAGCGATGGCTAAGGTATTAGTTCCTTTTTCCATTGTTTCTTAACTTCTTACTAATTAGTCTTCAGAGCCTTGAGATACCACATTTTGGGTACGCATTTTCTTGGGGAAAGTTGACACATTTTGCTGACATTTATTCAGATACTCTACATATCTAGATCTCACGTCTCTCCACAACGTCATACCCGTCCTCAACGCATATATCCCACCTCATTATCTGTTAGAACCTCCACCAGAAAAGCCGATGGCCGTCAGTCCATCATCCGTTCACCCAGTTCCTCCGCCCCCAGAAGTTCCACCGACAGCAAGATTTTCGCGATTGACATATCTTCCGTTCCTGCTCAAGACTCTTGCCATTGCCATGCACGAATGGCCGCTATTCCGTTCCTCTATTACACCTTTTTCCACGAATTCTGAGACAAAACCGACACTTACTATACGGCCACATGCAGACATTAGCATTGCCCTTTCAACACCGTCTGGACTCTATACTCCAACTCTGCAACGTGTCTCTTCTCATTCCGTCTACAGCCTTGCCTCGCGGCTGGCGCACCTTTCAGCCCTTGGCCGTCGTATGCCATGTGGACTCGGTCCTGCTGAGATGCCAAAAGCCGGTGGGACACTGACTGTCTCGAATGTTGGTGCATTAGGCAACGGTGAATTTGCGAGCCCTGTCCTCGTTCCAGGTGGAGGAGTCGCGATCGTAGCTATTGGCCGTGCCAAATGGACCCGAGACGAGGAGAGGAATGGCGAAAGGCGGTTAAAGGTCGGTGTAAGTTGGAGTGCGGATCATCGCATCGTAGAGGGTGCAGAGTTGGCTGCGTTCGTAGAATGCTGGAGAGGGTATATAGAGCATCCAGAGAGGTTAATCGGAATTGGTGTATGATTACTGTAATGCATGCCATGGTGATTACTTATGGCGTATTTTTGGGGTCGTGACCGTGGGAACTGTGTAATCTTTGGCGGAGAGAATATTAAAAGTCAAAAGTTCTTTCCACTACCTCTCACCCCACACAGCGGGAAAGTCTCACAATCCAACAATGGTCATGAGAGCTCTGCGATTGAGGTCAATTGTCAGCAGATGGAATAAACCATCATTCGAACCAAGTGTTGAACGTCAAGCTGGGTCGGACCAGGTCGGACAACGAGATATCTAGCCGGTATATTGGTCCGAGCCCTAGACCTTTCTTGCACGAGACTGTCGGCCCGCGATCCATTAGTATTTCGTAACGTTCAGTCCTCCGTTCTTGAAAAGAGCCGGAGAGTGTCTTTATCTTGCCCTCAGTCTGGTCTCGCCGAGATGGCGTCCATAGGTACTCTAATTTGGGTCTCTGTTCGTCCTCTCTTGCGGCTGTGAGCTTTCGACCAGATAAATTCTCTTTTCAAGAAGTAACTCATGCAGAAGATAGAGTAATCTGTGCATCATGTGGCTTCATTATCACCAAAGCCGACATCTTCCCACTCGTTGCAGCCAGAGGGACGGGGCAGATCCTTCTTGTACGTAGATGGGTATCCTGTCAAGCAAAGTTCGCAGTCAGCCCAGTTCTCAAGTTTGAATTCATAGCATATAACGTTGCCAGCTCTCTTCTTCTCCAAAATAGTACCTGCTTTCACGTCTCAGAACGTTGGGGCACTCGGTAAGTTTCGTTTTATACTTGCTTACATATTCACTATGCTTATCCAAGTAATATTAGGACCTCTTGTCCTTGTTGCAGTAATATATGAAGCTCTCGGTGTACTCCTTGCTTGGATAGTAAAACAGTTCTTTTGGGTCCCTCATCGCTTTCGTTACGGCATCCTGATAGCAGGCGGCTGGAGCAATGTTGGAGACGTTCGTAAGTCTCCCCGATATCTACTCGAATTCACTTATCACTTACAGTGTTACATATTTCATATTTTGATTTCATACAGCGACCGCTGTCATTATGAGCGTCACTGGTGCCGCACCATTTAACCCTTCTACCGATCAAACGCTTGCGGTGGCTTACTTGTCCGCCTTTATTATTGTTTTCTTTGTGAGTATCCTCTATTCATTTGGCTCTTTTTCCGCGCATGTTACCCCTATTCTGACACAGTCATATTCTAATGTATTTCCTGATCAACTCCTCATTATTTTGCCTCTACTAAATCGAATTGATATTTGTTCACCGCCCTGTGCTTTCTCACAATAGATCACGCTCTTCCCGATGGGCTTCTATCGACTTATCGCATGGGACTACATCGGACCAGAAGTCGACGATGAGGAGCTTCGCATGGGAGTTTCCGAAAAGACACGAGAATCCATCCGTAAAATGACGCATAGCATAAGCGCTGTGCGAAGGCGTTTCGCCCATGCTGCAGATAAAAGTTCCCAAGAAGGCGTAGATGCGGAGAAGCAGGATAATATTCAGTCCAACGATTTGAAATACTGTGACAGCAGCGCGGAGAAAGGCCGCCAGAGAACTGGTGATGCATCCGAGATCGAGTGTATACAAAAAGAAATTCCGACGGGCGGGTATGAAAGTAGAACCGCACTGTCAGCGCCAATCTCTCAACACCAACAACAGAAGCACGTATCTTTTCATGATGCTGAAGCTGACGACGTTCCGACCGTCGTGCTTTCAGAGCAATCTCCTTCACAGCCCTGTTCAACCGTTTACACGGCAAAAGACAGTGGCCCATCACGTATTACTTCGCCTTCTCCATCTGTTACCCAGGTCGATTCAGAGTCTACTTTCACCAATGTTCGAAACACGTTGCGTCACGTACGCTTACAGAGAAATCGCAAGCAAGTTGGTGCAAACGGTGATGATACAGGTTCAAGTCCGGGCGGAGACGTTCCGAAAGTTGTCGGACCTTCGACAACAGCCCAGCCGACTTCTCGTGCTCTTCGACATCGCATCCTCGCACAAGGAAGGAACGCGCTTTCGTCCATGAATAGCCCACAAGCAATCACGATTTTCACTGCACTTATCATTGCACTCGTACCTCCCCTAAAAGCGCTATTCACACCTATTGATAACTCACCTATCCCGAATGCCCCGGATGGTCAACCGCCACTCGCATTCATACTAGACACCGCTAGGTGTGTTTTCTCTGTAAACGTCAACTCCTCTATTCACTCACTCCTTTGTTTTAACTTGTCATGTTTTGCATTTGCAGTTTCATAGGTGCAGCATCAGTACCCATGGGACTGGTCTGTCTCGGATCAGCCCTTGCACGTCTTAGAGTACCTCGATCGCAATGGGGTTCTCTCCCACTCGGCGCAATTTTTTCACTTGCAGTTGGGAAAATGGTCCTGATGCCAGTGATCGGAGTGCTCATGGTCCAGGGCCTCACATTTGCGGGAATCATCAGCGCGGAGGATAAAGTACTGAGATTTGTTTGCATGTACGTTCCCGAAAACTACTACGATATAAGAGTGAGGACTGTTGCTAATGTTCGTGCATCACAGATTTTTGTCTTGTATACCAACTGCTACTACGCAGGTAAGTCCAGACTTGCATTGCGCCAACCAGTTTACATTGCTAATCTCGTGGGTCATCAAGGTGTATCTTACGCAAGTATATTCCGGAACTGGCGAGGCTACTGCATTGTCCGCTTTCCTCATCCCGCAGTATGCACTCATGTTCGTCACGATGACCATCCTTTCCGCGTACACGCTTTCGCTGCTCTTCTAGCTCATACGGAACTTGTCGTGTATGGCTTGAGAAATGTAACGATTGCACTACCTGTGCATTTGTGCAACATGTGTTGTAGGTGCTTGTGGGTGTTTTCCTTTTTGTTCACTAGACTACCCTGTATCCTACTACACATGTATATGCATATATAAAGGGTTTTCGAGCTAAGGGTTAGAGGATTCTTTCTCCTTCTTGGCACTCAATTACTAGGTTATCCTAGTCAGTAGTTGAGTGTACTGGTAAAGAGAGAATCTTTGTGTAAGGCTAGTATACCTATCCTTACACATTTTTGACTGAACCCACCTTTCCATAAACCTGCTAGGCTTTGACAACTGGAACTGAGGGCTTGATCACCCTAATACATTCCTCACATCACCCAGTACTCTTTCAAATTCAAAGAAATCAGTGAGTAGTTTGCAAATCTAAATTAGAGACACATATACTCTTACTATAACTACTAGGATACTCAGAATGCTTGAGGGACATGAACAGATTGTTCCCCTCAATGTAGAGAGACCTTCTCATTAATATCACAAGAGGCAAGCATCATTCAGAAGTGCTGAAGAGTAGCTTTCCCTAAATGTAGAGAGATTCAAAACAGTGTACACTACAGATTTCAAATTAACAGAGTATGCAGACAATGGACAACAAGATTATTCATTGAGTACTGAACACAATGTAGCTACTGAGCCTTAGTAGACAATCCTGGAAGGGCCCCCAAGTCTGGAAGTTACTATTAACATGCTAGAGAATAAGTCCTTGTCTGTTACAGGCTAGAGGCAATCTGATAACCCTTTGCCAGGTGATAAGTCCTTGTCTACACTAGGCTAGAGGCACTCTAATGAACTATTACATACAAGTAATGTAGAACAAAGGTATGTACCTGTACTAGCACATATTGTTAGACTAATGTGTACTGTAGAGCAGACACTAGTGAGTACTTACCTTACTAAGCTTACAGAAGTAGATAATAGTAGTACAGAGAGTGTAAATACTTAGGAAACTGGTATTAAGGATTCTGTCAGTAAGAACAAGAGTATTAGTAAAGGAACAATACTTTCCTTACAGTAGGAAATGTTCTAGAAGGTCAGAAAGACATTCAGAAATGTCCCTAGGCTAGAGACACTAAAAGCCATAAGTAGGCTAGCCAGTCCATTCAATCAAGGAATTGATATTGAGGAATTGAATAAGAGAACTTATAAGTACAATAGTATGTATTAGGAATATGAAGGAAACATTGATTTGAACACAATCAATCTATCTAAACTAACTAGAGATGAGTTAGCTAAATGAATGTATTAGAAAGTATGTTGTTGACACTCAGAAGCTACTAAGGGAATGCTCAAACAATTGGAAGATGCTCTACTGTTTGAAAGCACATGTTCTTAGAAGAAAGATCTAAGTAAACCTGTACCTAGTAATAAGAAAAGTGTAAGAGCAAATAAAGGAAAAGCTCCAGACATTTGTAATTACAGTTAGGTAGAACTAGACAGTTCTAGCAAAGCAGATTCTGATGTACAAAGAATGTATTTTCAGGAGATAGAGTACAGACAAAATGTAGAATCAGGACAATAGAATTTCAGAAATAAAGACTATAGTAAGGCTCCTAGAACTTCTCAGGAATTACCAGTTTGCTTCAAGCAAGAAACATATTGCTCTAAGATAGAAAATCAAGGTAAGGACTACTACTACAGATACAACACCCTAGCAGGGCAAGGAGACACATTACAGAATAAAATACTTGTATATATGTACTATCATACTAATATTCAAGGATTGACACATACACCCAGTATGAAACACAATATTAAAATGAATAGACTGAACTCAGACATGAAACTTACAGTCCTGAATGCATCTGATGACAGTGAAGACGAATCAGAAACTGTAAAAGGTAAAGAGAGTAAGGAAAAGAATTTCCACTACAGTTCTGTACCCTCTATCAAGTGTAACACAGATAGGAATAGTAAAGGCTACAGAAAAAGAACCACACAAGATACTACTGAGCCACAAAGCTCAAATACACTGTAGACAAATAGATTTACATTAGTAAGACCCTCAGACAACCTTACAAGAAAGAGTTATGTGAATCATACAATACAGAGAGTAGAAATTGTAAAAAGGCAGGATCCTGACCTGGATCCAGGTAATAGCTCTTCAGATTCTTTAGATTCAAGCAGATACTCAAGTTCTGACAATAGCAATAATAGTAATACATTATTCAAACCTACAGACATTAATTCAAGCAACTCTGAAGGTACTAAGAAGTGTAAAAAGCTTACTAAGAGGAAATAGAATAAGGAACTTCTAAAATTGAAGATACAGATGTAGAGCACAAAACCTATCATTCCTACAGTTTATTGAGGTGAACCTAACCTTCAAAGATACACTAAGTTTGTTATAGAAGTCAATCAGTACATGAAGTAATTAGGTTTACATTATTTCCCTAAAGAACAAGTAGGAGTACTACCTAATTTCATTAAAGGACAAGCTATAGACTTCTATCTACAGAAAATAAGCATGAACGAATCTCAATAGACCTTATCACAATTCTTTAAAGGTCTAATAGACTTTTGTTTTCCATCTAACTTTGTAGAAATGCTTAGGAAAGAGTTTAATATAATGAAACAAGGACACAGAGTCATACAGGAATATTTGTACAATCTAGAAATGAAAGCAATCAATCTAGACAATATTTCTGATAGAGATTTAACTAGGAGAGCATGGGATGGACTTCATCCTAAGTATCAAAGGCAATTACAGTTGGATTGTTTAAATCCAGACACAGTTTTGTATAAAGAATTCAAAGACAGGCTTGAGAACATTAAAAAAGCAAATGAAGCTGTTAGAATTAAATGGTATACAGATACTAGAGATTGATTCTATCCTCAGAATAACAAAGAAGACCATTAAAAAGACAGATGGAAGAAGAACAACTAGGGGAACTATAGGAATGACAATAAGAATTGACTAAAGGACAGGAATTATGATTATAATTGTAATAATTGTAACAGGTAGTGCATACAGTCTAACAGTGTAAGTCCTAAAGAGAAAGACTGATCTAAGGACTACAAACTGAAGTACAAAGATACCAGGCAGAATAAGTAAGAGAACAGTAAGAAGACTTATTCTACAAGTGTGAAAAGGTATTCACAAGCTGAACTAGACAATATGAGAGTTAAAGGACAATGTTTTATCTGTAAACAGACTATGCATTTAGCTAAAGATTGTCCTACACACAGTACAGTAAAGCTGAACAGTGTTTCCAATACAAATATGTTGTCTAAGAGTGTTAATATCAATTATTCTGCTCTAGATAAGTTAACTAATACTTTGGAAGATAATAATTACTTGGATTTGAATCTTATAACAGACAATACAATGGATCCATCATCTTCTATGTTGCAAATACAATCTATGACTATTCAGATACATTATCCAGACAATAGTTATGAGTCTACAACTCAGAAGAATGAGAATTACAATTCATTAGTTGGTTACAATACTATTTTACAAGTATTTAGTTTAGAACAATTGGATTTGAAGCTACAAACCTCTTCTGACACTTTAGAATTAAAGATTCCCCTTGTAAATACTGAACTTAGAAAGAGAAATCAGAGGAGAATGAGATCAATCTACAGAAATAGCTATTTCTACAGTGAATACAATGATATAGTATGTTTTGGAATTACTAGATGTCTTATGAAAGGAATTCTGTACCGTTTTGACTGGAAATACAACAGAAGACTTCAGAATAAGTATCTACACAATCAATTCTATGTTTTCAGAAGTACAGATACACAGTTTATGATCATTGACAATTGGGAGAATGGAAATGAGTACACATTACCTGTTAAGATTACTTTTCTGAACAGA